GATACAACTTTATCTAATCGTTGTAATTTCTCCATGAAATTTTTATTTAATTCAGTTTTCACTTCAGTAAACTTGTCAATCATGATGGAAAGAAGTTTCCTCGATGAACTTTTTATCGGCTTCGACATAATTTTTAACCAAAAACACAAGTTCAAATTCGCAAAAACAACAAAATTCAATATTCTTGAATTGTCTAACGTAGTGTCAAACTGACAGTTCTATGTTGTTGCCATATGAAAACGGAAAAATAGGTGGTGTCACGTTTCGCTTGCCAAACTTTATATCTCATGACGTCACGTAAAAAATTTTGAACTGTCACACTAGTGTTATCTTTGTTTACTAAAGAAACTTCTTATTAGTTAAAAAAAGACAACATGATGTTTCTGATGTCAACTTCAGATTGCATGATATTTATATAACCATAGAAAATATTTCCACTCTACCTTACTCTATGTAGTGAACGCGTTAGCGTAAAACTTACACTTACCACTCTGAATTGATAGTATGATTTTTAGTAGCTATTTTGACCTGATTTTCCAAATTGTTTCTATTCGAAAGTTCATGGGCCACAAGTAGTCTCATGAAAAATTATCCTTTGTTTGCCAATGATTTCAATTAATATCAATAAAAAAAAAAAAAAAAAAAGCGACTGCAATAACGCAAAAAAATAATACTCTACGACAACGACTGCAATAAATTTTCATGAACATAGAAACTTTAACGGTCAGTTGCACAAACGTCCATTAAGGTTTAATGACGCCTTTAAGCCCAAATGAATGTCAAATTTGTATTGGTAATATCGCTTTAAACTAATGAAAATTTTAATGGACGTTTGTGCAAATGGCTGTAAGATGTTCAGGTTACCTACTTATATTTTTCACGTCTTTGAAGTTGGTACTATTTAATCAATATTTTTAAGAATCCTAATTTAAATTAACTGACATACCTACTATATATATTAAAAAATAATTGCACATTTCCTATAAACAAATAAAAAAATAATTAAATAAACGAACACCATGAATGTCTGACAAAATCAAGCCTAAAAAAGATTTGACTGTTTTTAATTCCCGCCTAATGTGCAGGTATTTAATTAATTCTTGGCTTGAAGGTACAAGTTCACACTAAGCAAGTATATGATTAGTATGCACCTTTAAAATTGTTTAAATATTACGCAAGTCCCTCGTTAATGTAAGGCATGTCGTGTGACCGCGGATCGATATAAACACTTTCTAATTTGTAACAATATTATAGTAGTTCCCATAAATTGTATGCAAAGAAACAAAACTTAAGAAAATGTATAAGTATGAAAAAGTTACTCGTATTTACGCATGTAAAAAAACAAGTATAAATTACTTTTGTGATATTCGACAAGTATGTTTTTGATTAGTTTTTAGTTTATTTTAAGACAACTCCTCTTATTTAGATATACCTCCATCTCAAGTGTCAAAGCTTTTTAAGATTTTTAAGACAATTTTAGCAAAAAAAAAATGTATTGTCAGGATACTAATATATTTTTTAAATATTTTTATTGAGGCCTTTACTGTAAGTGTACAGTGTTTAGCCCTATATACATTAATTAAATTTACCATTACACTGTAGCCAATTACACAGTTTTGTTAAAAGATAAATGGGACTAACCTAAAAATGTGAGTCTCTTTGACGTAGATAATTTCTGGAATAATTTGAAAAAAGATACGGTAGATATGAGGTAGTATGTGGATGCGCAAAGTAGTATAAGCAGTGAGAGAAGATGCCTGGTGGGATGCGGGGGTTGAAAAGCCGTAGCAAAAAAGAAGAAAGTATGGTTGAATTATGTTTTTAATCTTTGCATCTAAGTGACATTAGGAAAGAGTAAAAAAAATAAGTATACCGTGAATGCAAGAGTGAAACCCCGGCTTTAGTGAGAAGCGTGAAAGGATATTTATGGAGGAGAAAGAGAAACTGACAAAGAATAACAAACTTTTTGGAGAAAGGTTAAGAAGTCTCGACCTTCGTCAGTATCCAGAATGGATAAAATTAAGTCTAAAGCTGGGGACGTTCTTGAAGATACTCAAGAAGAAGTCTGAAAAAGAGGACACGAAGCGAAGATTGACATGGTGTCTCCTGAGATGATCAAACTAGGCGGGGTCGCGTACGAGACGCTTCCTGGTTTGTTTTTTAACATTTAACATTTACTGGAAAGCTTGAAAAGTTCAGATGGACTGGAGGTACACGGTCATGTGCCCTTGTACAAAGACAAAGCCTCACGTATCGACTGCGTAATCTACAGAGTCATCAGTTTGATCAGGTTAGCAGCCACAGTGTATGAAAAAATACTTGAAAGGATGAGGGTGAAATCCGATGGAACGCTATGGGAGGCACAGAGAGAATTATGAAATGGACGGGAATTCACGGATAAAATTTTCTCGCTCCTCGACATCGTAGAGTATCTGGCCATTGATCGGAAGCTTTTCTGTGATTTTGTGGATATACAGGACTTTAAAAAGTATTTGACAGTGTAGTACGAAAGGAACTCTGGGGAGATATGGGATCTACGACGCAACACGCAGCAGCTATTCAGACCACTTCTATGTCTAACCGGGTAGATTGCAACATGACCTGGTTTGGCGTCAATGTTGGTGTCAGGCAAGGTTGCGTGTTGTTGTCTTCAATTGTCTTCAGAGAATATGATCTATGAATGTGGAATTGCAAATTGGTGACCTATTCGTAACTGCCTGCTGTATGCAGATAACGCCGTAATGCTCACAGAAATTCCAACTAATTTGCAAACACCCATCACAGTGATTAAAGATGATTTATGATGAAATGCTTACATCGGATGCGAACAAACAAAGATAATGATATTTGAAAGAGACGATACCAGAACAAATGTAAGGATTATGGTTGATGATGTAGTACTGGAACAAGTGAACAACTTTGTATACATATCTTGAATATGCTTTTAGCAGGGATGGAAGGTACACCGGTGATAAAGAGTGGGTGCTGGGAATAGTGTGAATGATGCGTTGGGAAAACTTCTTGGCAGCAAAACGATAAGCCAGAAAGCGCAGCTCGCTATACAGAATGCGGTGTTGGTCCCAACGTTAATTGTATGGTAATGAAGATTGAGTCCACTAACATTTAACTAGATGCGTTCATATCGTTTTGTTGCATTCGGAATTAAGAGATAAGAATGAAAGGTGAAAAAGATAGCGTTGGAGTAAAAATCAACAGAAAACACGAAATCACTCAGTCAAACAAATAAAAGCGGCATGTGCATTGTGCAGTATCCCGCAGCACACGATTAGTGTTATTTGAACTATTTCCAAAGTCAAAAACAAGAAAGAAGAGTCAATAAAGGCTTAGGAAAATTCAACTTACACTGGCTGATCAGACTCAATGCGCGAGAAATACGGCGGTTCAAAACAATGTATATAATTATACAAGCGATGTGTAGTTTGTTTCGGCAAAACACTGTATACTTCGTTAGAATTTAATATTATTTCAAACGTAATACAGTGTTTTTTTTCTTGTAATATCTTACTAAATAATGATTGAAATTGTAAAATTATCGTCCATGGATACAGCCTCAAAGAAATTGATTGAGCCCTGTTAAGTAGAAACACTGTAAGTAGACATTGACACGGCAGTAGAATTTGTACCTACTTATGAGAGTATTAGTAACTATTCAATAACAAAAGTTGAAAAAAATAAAATAAAAACCGATTTTAAAAAAAAGAGAGGACACGTGAAAATTATTTCTCGTGTCTTGCGTGGATTCGCGTACTAAGAATTCCGTACCATTATCTATAAAAACGGAAAAAAACACTTTTGATAAATGGGAGCCATCTTAAATATTAAGTTTATTCTGTTTTTGTTATAGCGGCAACTGAAATACTTACATCATCTGTGAAAACATCTGTCTAGCTATCATGGTTCACGAGATATTACCCGCCTGGTGACAAACATCGGAGTCTTAGTAATAGGGTTCCGATTTTACCGTTTGAGTAAAAAACACTCACGACTCATTTTAATTATCTAAGAACCTTCACCACCTATTTATGCCTCGCCTGGCGAGCGACAGGGGGAGGGAATCTCATCCGTTACCGCATGTTTACCCACCAAAACCCCTACCGTGTACCCTCTACTGGAAAATATCACCTGGGAAGCCGTGAAATACCTTTACCGCCGGATACCCATAAATTGGGCAAGCTAACAGACAGGCATAGTATCCAAATATATTTAATACTACAATTCTAAGTGCACGTTTTGCCCATCGTAAAATAAATTATATAGGGCGGAAGAAGGGCCAAGCTAACAGACAGGCATAGTATCCAGATATATGTATTTAAAACTACAATTCTAAGTACACGTTTTGCCCATCGGAAAATAAGTTATATAGGGCGGAAGAACCTAGAACCACGATCTGGATTTGGGTAGTGCTTATATAGTTTTTGTCTATACTAATTATAAAGATGTAACATTTTATTGATTGTTGGTTTGCATTGAATGGGTCCAGAAACTACGGGACAGATTTTTGTAATGCTTTTACCTACGGGAAGCTATATTATACGAAGCACAGGTGACATAAGCTATACCTAATGTACACGAGCGCATAGGTAGTGTGGAAAAAAAAATAGGGACTCCCTTTATTTAACTACCTAAATGTAGAATGTTGTAGAAGTACTAAGTATTCTAATCAGCACATGCATCTCCGACACCCACACCGAAATTTTATTTGTTGAGGAAGGTCAGCCTATTACGGTTTATAAGATACAGCTGTGATATGTATGACAGACTGACGGACGGACAGTCTGTCTATCAATCAGATTGCTTTTCAGTGTTGAAAAGTCCCATCGTTAAATTAAAAAAATCGTTTAAGTAATAAATAACTGCAGCTTATTTTGTTTTTGCATTAAATAGGTATGGCATAATTAATAAAACAAAAACATTTAATAAACTTTTTTATTTATAATAAACATAAACAATGCGCAAAATAGTTAACTATTTGTCGCATTACAAAGTATAATTTCCGTAAATGTAAGCGATTAGACTCTGGTAAATATAAAGTACGAAACATAATAATGTATGTTAGAAAAATATAACAGAAATAAGGTATTAAGCTTAAAATGACTTAATAATATGTCCTTATGTCAGCCATAAGTCATAATACTGTGGCACAGAAAATAATATTTCTTCCCATACAAAAATGTATGAAAACACTGCTCGATATAAATTGTGCTGCGTTAATATAAGGCACGATTACATTAAAATTAAATTAAAAAAAAGAAATTTACCCAAAGTATAATTTAGATAATAAATGCCAATGGATTTGATTTCGAGTTTAAAAATTCATTACAATATCTATAAAAATATTATGCTAATAAATTAATAAAGGTATAACAAGAAAGTTATTTTTTCACACTAATGTAACGTAATTCGTAAATGCATCTGTAGCATTTACTCATACTATAATAATTAAGTGCTATTTTGTTTCAACATAGCGTTTGGGTGCAATACTGACGAAGAATACATCCAGTTATAAATAATAATAAAAAAAATTACAGTCTAAATAAGCATAAAGCGTGAAAACATCGCTTAGTTCATTTACAGTGTTTTTAACATAAAAAATAAACTATTCGAATTGAATCAACAGGTTTAGAAATATATTCTCAATATCTAAGTAGCTATTAAACATAGTTAATTTAACAAAAACTTTTGAGAATCTTTTTCTAATCTCTGTCTACAACATTTACGCCCCAAGCCAATAAAACCGTACAATGAACTATTGTGAAAAAAACATCGACAATATTCATAGAGAAACATCCTTATTTAAGTTCAGCTGACTCACTTTTTGACCTAAATTCGAGGCTACATTTTCTAACACTTAAAAGTAAACAATCTGATTCGATCACGATACTTTACAGGCGGACGAAAGATATAACAACAGAAACTTATGATCTACATTGAAATAAAAATGTATCAACAGAGTATTTTTATCGGCATTGGGGTATAGACTACGAAAAATAGTTTTTTTTACAGCGGCCAGCTAAGGATGAATAGCGCATTATTAATATGAGCGAGTAAATGAGACAAATATCTCTCATTTTAAAGTCTTTTAAATATTTAGTATAGCCCTCGAACTTACTGCGACCCTGCATAAAACAATTAATTATATAACGGTAAAGAATGTAAACACTACGTATAAAAGTATCTAAAATTGACAATTATCTTCGATAAAAAGGCAATCGTCGGATATGACTCGAAGGCACAAAATTATTAATCCATAAACAAAGTTTCATATACCATCCACCCTAATCGTATTAGTTTCAACCGCAATCGCAAAAAACTAGTTCAATTCCACACAACGTACGTTCGAAATTAATTCGAACGTTACTGCGATCTCTAAATAATAAAAAAAAACTTCTCTTCAATACGTAACACTAACCCTAAACCATTTTTAATATTTTTAAAAACATGATTTAAACACTAGAATATAACTAGTTCATTTTGATAAATATGTTACAATAAACGTTATTGTATACAACTATTATTGCCATTTCGATGAGTTCAGTGGCAACACTGCAGCCGCTGAAACGTGTGACAAAAATAAATAGATATATACAACTACAATCTAATATCGGAAACCACTCCATCCATCGCTATCGTGAATCGAGGTGAGAAGATTACGCACGCTAATCAAAGTTTATCTTATTTACATTTGAAAACAGATCGAGAAAGGCCTTGCAATCTATCACATATTAGTTTCGGTTACTTAATGGGCAATAGCCAACATAAAAATAAAAATTATACCGTAACAGCAGATACTGTGCTCCTATATGGAGGAATTAAGTAGCTTCTTATTATGCGAATTACTGTTGCATTTATTCGAGTGTACACGTTCATCTCCGCTCAAATGAACATATAGCGTAGGCGAGTATACACTTGAAATGCACGACCTCACAACACACTTAATTTATTCCATATCTCGCATTCGCACCGCTATTATACCCCTCCTGGCGAACGAGAACAACTGAATCATTAAAGCAATCGTGGTACGAGTCGTGGAATACGAACTTAAATTACTACAAAAATCAAACTGATCACATTTGAAGAGTTCCAAAATTAAACTGTGGCACTCGGAAAATGGAAGTAGTATTTCATACCGGACTATCAAGACATGTTGCCGATGCCGGTCCTTTTGTTCATGGGGGTTGCGTCGAGAATCCTCTCGTTCGCCTTGTCTTCTTCCCTGAAATGGATTCTCGTGATAACAATGTCTCCCGTGCTGAGGGTCTGAGACGCAACCTCTGATTTCTTAATCTCGATGAGATCATTACACTTTCCATCATCAAAATTGGAACTATGGCATTTGCAGCAACAATTCTTTCTATCAACATCTACTGTGCCTATGTTCAAGATTTGGCTCAGATTGGACCAATCTTTGTTCTTGAGTAATGGCAGTGTCTGTTCCATTGTCTGGGAGAATTTGTCTTCCAATTCTCCGCTTAGTGGTGCAACTGCCGATAGGATTGCCTCTAGGCGATTTATTTTCTCAACTTTGTCCATATTTGTGTCAGACAAAATTTCGTCCATCATCTGCATGGACTCAGTGAGGCTTGGAGGTTGAGTAGAATGAGGAGATGAGATAGGATCAGAAGGGTTTGATTCTAAGCTGATCATTTCATTTTCCCTTTCATCATCTTCAGAATCGGAATCCTTTTCTTGTCCAATTGCTTCCAATTTCTCCAGTTTTTTAGATATCTTATGACAGCCTTTTAGTTTTTCTTTTTCCTCTTCAGTAAGCTCTAAATATCTGAGCAATCTTATTTCCCTATTGCTCAAGACTATATTCTTTGTAGACTCAGCTAATTTTTGTTTCAGTTCACCAACTTCTGTATTAATTTTTCTTTGTCTTTTACGTAGCTTAACTTCTGTAGGCTGAATATGCATAAACACCTGTTCATTACTTAATTCCTCGAACAGCTGCTGGTTATCTGGTTTAATATTGCTGGACATGAATGCATAAATTGCTGGATTCACTAATGACAAAACATCAGAAGCAGCATAGATTATCATGTCTTTTGTTAATGGTCTCCTAGCCCAGTATCGTTGGTCCCTACGATAAACATTTTTTAGTTGCTCTTTCATGGGATTCATGGGAGCATTGTATAGTTCACAAAGGGCATTGAGACTTAGGTTTTTCACTTTATAAACTGGCACTCCCTGTTGTTGTAATTGTAATACAGCATGGGCTGCCTGAGTATCAAAAACATTCTTCAAAACTATCTCAAATTGATTGTGTAAATTAACTGAGTCATTCCTACAGTCATGTATAATCTTCACAACATGTTCACTTTCCAATAAATCCTTTATTTTACCCTCAACAACCATGTTTGGACAAGCCAGTATATCTAAAATGTAAACTTCACCATTCATGGTGGCAATCTGACACAAAGTTAACACTCCTTTGAGACCAAGGTTTATTCCTTCACAGTCAAACGAAACAATACTTTTTGTGTGACGTTTAGGGTTCATAATACTGTCAATTAAAGTTGCACATTCTCTGGCATTAGCGATGACGGTTGTGCATTGAAGTACTTTTTGACGCCACGCCTCACCCATCATATTATTTCTTAAGCTTGGGGTTCCATTTGTTTCCTCAGAACGTGCATTTAAGTGATTATTTACTCTATCCCTAACCATATTCTCTGCCAAATTTTTAATAACTATTGAATTGATCCGTTGTTTTAATGTTTGATTTGCTACGTTTGCTTGTGGACCACGGGGAGATTCAACAGGGCTGAGTATTCTGTTAGCAGGGCTCTTTTTACCATCTGAAGGAGTAGGGCTCACTACTGAAGGAGGGATTGGCGACAATGGCTTCTCCTCAACCATAGGCTTTGGTACATCAGTCTTGACTTTAGGCTTTGCATTTAAATACATTACGGGTATTTTTGGTTTGCTAATAAGTGTGACGAGGTTTGATTGAACATGAAAACTATCAGAAAATATTTTTAGAAAAGCACTCAAGTCAGCAGGTGATTTGAACATTTGGTACCAATATTCCTGAGGGAATCGAGACACTATAAGGTGAAATAGTTGGTCCACCATAACGGGGCCCTTAGCTTCTATGCATTGCGCGACATAGTCCAACAACTGTTGGGCTGTATCAGTGTTTATATTAGGTACTGGTAGATTGTGGAATTGTTCATTGTTACTGTGCGAGTTACCTCTCCTGTGATTTTCACTGACTAGAACGACGTTGTCTTCGATAATTTGGAAGGTATCCGGGTGCTTTAGCAAAAAGTCTTTGAACTCTTTGATACGTTGTCCGGAGATGTGACGCACCTGAGGGGACGCCTGACTGCGATGCCCAAGGAGGCTTTTTATGGGTACCTCGGTGCCATCGCCATACTGGATCATCTTACTTGCGAAGTACTCCTTCGCTTCTTCGATGTAATCGTTGTTAGAGCCCGCGCCAACCCCACTCGGATGCTTCTGGAACGTGTTGATATCAACATAGTCCCCGTCTATGTTGAACAACGCCGGGTACTGCGCCAGGAACTTCTTCAAGCCCGACTGAGACCCGCCAGCGATCTGTCGCATCTCTTTCGTGAACCCTTTGGCACCAAACTGGCAGGAAAGATCGTGCAACGTCCGCGGCTCGCCTTTGTCGAGCAGGCGCTCCACGAAAAACAATAGAGTGAGGTTTCTAGCGAGCTCATATTCCATTGATTCCATTTCCCTGCAGTTGGTGCCAATGTGATTTTCTTACACTAAATTTTTTCTACGTATATGTGTCACCCACAACACCATGAAATTTTTCTTTTCTTTCCGCACCTGAATCATAGAGTAAAAGCGAAGTGTAAATTGCCATATAAATAATAAAAATTACCCCAATTACTCTGAAATATAAAAAAATGTAATGCATCATCCGCTCACTGCTTAATAACGTTATTTAATTTTGTAAAATTGTAATTTATATATTTATTGTGTAAGTGATGTGTGCTGTTATTTAAATAAATGTCTATTCAATATAAACATATAAAAATAAAGTTTTTAGAGTAATTGTGGCATTAACAATTTAGTTGCACAAATTAGAAAAATAAAGTTTTGATTCTATACATATATTATTTATTTATTAACAGAATCCATTTAATTATTATAATGTATTAATAACACTGCGTTACACAATTTTAGTACCCGTTAAACTGATAGTTAGAATGAATAATGAGTCACAGATAAAATGTTCCAAATATATGTGGTATCCGTCACGTCTAGTTTTCGAGGTACATGTCAATCATTATTTTAACTACTCTCACTTTAGGCGTATAAGAAACAGTTGAGGCTTTCGATATATTTTACTTTTTTATTGTTTTGTTTTATTCATAAATCGTTCCTATTCGATATCCTTGATATCTCTAAACATATGTATTTAAAAATCCAACATGAATACTAGCGCTAAGTGGCCGTCGCAACTGCAAAAAAAAATAGTTTTGTTTTGTTTATGAATAGTACATTTTTAGTTTTCAAAAAAGTGAGAAGTGCATATTTACTTTAATTTGAACGTGTTAATCATAATAAACCATGGATACCACAGTTTTTTTGTGTTACGTTCTATGCTACTCTCATATCTTAGTTTAATGGAAACAAGACGTCAATGCCATTTGCTGTACCAGTTTTATGGCGTGAACCTAGTAATCATTTTAATGATTGCTACTTTTGCATGACTGACATATGTGGCTTTTCAAAGAAAATCAAGCACAACATTCAGTATCCTGACATTCTTTTATATTTGAAACAAGTACCTCACGAAGAAGAAATGCCTCCTCCATTACTTCATACGGAAAGTTGGGTTGTAGAATGCCGTTAAAAATTCATTTTGTTCATTCCCACTTTTCTTTTTTTCCATCTAATCTTGGTGATGATTGTGGTTAGAGGTTCCACTAAGATATAAAGAAGCTTGAACAACGATTTCAAGGCCGTTGGGACACAACTATGCTAGGCGATTACTGTTGGCGTCTAAAACGAGAAGATCCTTCAAAACACAAAACATAAAGTAAACATTTTAAGGTATTCTGCGTTTAAATTGTATACATTGATTTTTCTTGTATTTTTTTATACCAAAATGATAAAAAATAAACTCGATTAATGATAAAAAAATACATTTATAAAAAATGTTTGAATTATTTTTGAATCTTTCAATTTTTTGCATAATTTGTCATATCCTCAAGGAAAAAATAAGATGTCATGGAAAGAAAATATGTATGTGTTCTTACTAAACGATAGAAATAAATAGGAAAACATGACATTTCAATGCGGGTACTTAATTATTTTTTCATTTGTAACGCAGTGTAACAGAATTTAAATTACTATACCATAGTACATTTTTGTTGAGGAAGTATTCAAAAACACAATACGTCCCGAAATCAAACTAGATGTAGCAACGGCACTTTCTTGATTTCTCCATGACAACCCTTACGGTTTTCTTTCACATACAAAAGTAAATTAATTTTCAAAAGTCAATAAACTACTCATATTCTATTTGTATTTTTCATATTTTATCTAAGGTTCGAACTTTGCTTTAAGTTGTTAATATGTTAGTTAAAAGGAATGGATACGACTAACTTTGATCCATTTGATTCCTGCAAAATTTAACTTTTGCTAGAGTCGCCTTCTGGTGAGGTGCTTTTAGTGCTTTTTTAAAATACTTCCACATTCTTTGTTACGTGTGACTGTGAAACAAGTTCAAAGAAAACTAAATTTTGTTTGAAACCGACCTTTTTGTTTTTGAATTGACAGCAATACCTATATCGATACATTATCTTTCTATGTATAATTTTAAGCCTTTTATACACCATATTCTGACATTCTTTCTTCTAAATATCATTGAAAATTATTGTTGTTTTGTAAACCAAGGCAGTATGTGACTTGCACTATCAAAATATATATTGGTAAATAAATATACTTTTGGTTGTAAATAGTTGTTATACAATAGGAAAGATGACTGGGTAAAAAAATGCAATTCTATTTAGTCCGTCAGTCACATAATAGAAATATATGATACGTTTTTTTTTTACTTCAAATTAACAAGACATAGCTTAGATAACAGGCATTAAAGTTGAGGAGTGGGGGCTCGCTACGTCACAGTTGAGTAGAAAACGTACTCTAACGTGACGTCATGCGAAATTTCAACTCAATGTAACGCCGTAATTTTATGATTACGAAAAAATAAAAAAATCCGTGTTTAATATTTTTGAACACTCTACCTGACGGACAAACAAACAAAATTTAGTCATCATCCCTATTGAAACTAAAGAATTAATACTTTTCCCGTGGTTCTTTACAGTAACATAGCTTAAGTTTAAAAATTTCCGCCATAAAAGGGAATCTTGTCTCAACTAGCAACATTTTCAGCATAATTGACACATAGACAAATTTTAATACTACCATTTTTTTATTTCTCGTTTTCGTTCATCAACTTGCATATTTGATTTATTAAAATATTATAATGTTTGAAAAATAATACATATACGTGTTTAACTCGAGAATACATGTTTTTCAGTTTTTGGTATACCTACTTTTATATTATTCATAGCCATCATTAATATTTTTTGGATGTAATATTTTTCTTAGGAATCGATCAAATTAGAAATTGATTTATTATCTAATAAATTAGTTTAATTAGTAGTTTAATTATTAACTTGCTTTCCTTTTGTTACATTATAAAAGAAATTGCAAAGTCTTATTATAATCAACACAAATAAGTTAATTAATTTGGGGATGAAAGATAACTTTAAAAATAATACTTTTAAAAACATCACAATAATGTTCAGAACGGTATTATACCTTTTTTATGAATGGTTAATCTGCACATTATACACAGCTCGGCCCATTTCACGGGGGTAGGCATTATACGTTGGGGATTTATATATGAGAAATCAATTTAGAAGAAAAAAAAAACAGATTTTTAAGTACTTCCTTTAAGTAGTTTTACTTTTACTTTCCTTGAGAGTTTAACGAACCTGTATCAAAAGATAACACATTATATAACATGCAATACGTCACATAACAATAAACATATGGGGCTATCGTATTAGTAAGTGGTAAAGAACATAGGTATGGCCTTTACAATTTAATTATATTTAATATAAATTAAAGTATTACGTTTAACAAAGACATTGGCGGAATTGAGTAAACGCAAATAGGCCATGAAATAAAAAAGAAAAAGTTTTTGGATAAACTTTTGGAAATATACAAATCACCTGACAAAGTCCCGCATTCCATTCAAGCAATGATTACTAACCAAGATATATATATACATACATATATTTAAATACTTGAAAGCAATAAAACATGCTCTATAAATAAATCAGAAGAGGTCAATACTAAGGACAAGGCTGCATGGTCATCAAATCTTTGCCTAAAAAAGAAGAAAAAAAAAAGAAAAAGAAAAAGAAGATGTCGATGTCACTTTTTGTTGTCCTAAATGAATGATTCTATTTTATTAATTTGAAGATTAGGTTTTTATTCATCTGGAAATTGAAAGTGTCTCATTCAATACATTTCCAGTTTACGTATACCTCAAAGAAGTGGCTAAGCGTTAAAAATGGTAATAACATATTTAATCATGGGCGGTTTACGCCTCCTTTTAATTAGTTTAAAGTTGATATAAATTGTGTTGTAAAATAAACGACATTAAGGTGGGAATATCATAGGAGCATATATTTAAATTAAAATAGCTACCTAATTATCCATGTCCCTTCAATAGACATTTGTGCAACTGGGTATTGGATGTTATTATATTAAATATATACGTATTTTATTTTACAGTTAGTGTTAGTACTAGGAGATCTGCATATTCCCCATCGCTGCAGTAGCCTGCCTGCCAAGTTTAAGAAGCTGTTATTACCAGGACGTATCCAACACATACTTTGCACTGGCAACCTCTGCACTAAGGAGTCTTATGATTATCTGAAGACTTTAGCTAGTGATGTCCATGTTGTTAGGGGTGATTTTGATGACGTGAGTATCACCAACCATAGTTATTTTTTAGTGTTTAGCTCTACTACATAACTGAAGTCATGAATAATCAGTCAAAATGAAATACTGAATTTTAATACTACTTGAGTATTTTTCATGCCCTATCAGTAAAATGGTTCATAACAACCCCAAAGTGTGTATTAACATAGCGCTGAAACTTGTAAGCTGCTTTTCGATTTTGATTGCAATATATGAAATGTTTATAATTTCTTCACTTAATTGCCTGTGTAATAAAATGTTCACAATAATACAGTGACATTTATATTTTATTTAATAAAGATATTACATTTTTTTATGAGACTGTTGCTTGATAAGGGGGCGTCCATAAATTACGTGAGGTGTTTTTTCAAATTTTCTGACCCTCCCTCCCCCCCTGGTGACATATCGTGAGATTTTATACAATCCCCTCCCCCATCCCCAAATCTGAGATTGAGAGATTTTTCAAAATGTGGGTTTCTTATTTAAACACGTTGGATTTTTTTAATAAAAAGAAAAAAAATAATTCACTTCTTACTTTTATTTGCGACTAGTTAGAGACTAGTAATCAATATTGCTCTCATTCATCGAGTCACATGTTCAGCTGACAGTGGCGCGAAAACAAAGGACGAGCTACATTGTACCGTAAATTCAAATTAAATTGAGCTATTTGGTATAAAACGAGTATAGTGGTTTGACAATCAGGAGTGATGTATAATGTCAAAGTACGAATGAAATTATTTTCTTTCCAACGAATTAGTGAATGATCTCAACTTGTCACTCTAAGAGGGATTCCCCGCACCGAGCCTTATTTTAAAAATTGCGTGATATTTGCCGAGACCCCCCCCTCTCTCCAACGTGAGATTAGATGAGATTTGACTCGACTCCCTCCCCCCCTTAAACATCTCACGTAATTTATGGACGCCCCCTAAGGTGAACTTTTGTTTAAATATATTGAGATAACATTTAGAATGGAAAACATGTATAGAATAAATATTGTTTTATTTATTTAAAAACTATATTTTACAGAATACAACATATCCAGAGCAGAAAGTCATAACTGTTGGACAGTTTCGTATAGGTCTAATACATGGTCACCAAGTAGTACCATGGGGTGATGAAGAGTCTCTAGCCTTGGTTCAGCGTCAGCTTGATGTGGATATCCTTATATCAGGCCATACGCACAGATTCGAAGCATATGAACATGAAAACAAATTTTATATTAACCCTGGATCAGCGACAGGGGCTTACAGTCCATTGTTTAGGTAAGGTTTCATATGTGACAATAATAATGAAAATCCAGTTTATTTTATCAAACTATCTGATTTCTATGATTTCACCCTCATAAATTATAGCCTGTGTCAACACGACATAGTTTTCGGTGATAGAATTTTAAAATCAGTCCTGTAGTTTTGGAGCCTATTCATTGCAAACAAACAATCAAATTTTTCCTCTACATAGTATTGATATAGATAATAAAATTTTAATTCATATTTGACACATTCTATACATAGTTTTAAGGTGTCCCCATCTCTGAGGTCATGGATTCACAGTCAGGATGATAAAGAAAATGAGACTTATCTGTATTGTCTTGGGTCTGGGTGTTGTGATAGTTTATGTTCTTTCAGATTTCCTTAATCCAAGTGTTTTAGCGACTTGGGTAATTTTAAACCCAAGCTATGTATGTAACTATTTTTAAGTTCTAAAATAATTTTTCTTTTCAGAAATGCGACGCCATCTTTTGTTTTAATGGACATTCAAAGCTCAACAGTAGTGACATATGTTTACAAATTGCTTGGAGACGAGGTTAAGGTGGAAAGGATTGAATATAAGAAAGCATAATTTATGTTTAACATATAAATATTTATCTGTTAAGTTCTACCATTTATATAAGTAGCATCGGTGAAATTTGTCTGTGCAGAAACTACCAAATTGAAGCTTATATCCAATAACTCTTGCGGTTGCTCCGTGGCGGGGCGAAACTTGTGTAGTGTGAGATTGGTTGCCGTTTGTACATGTGAATATGTGTGTGGACGGTGTACAACAGGTCTCGCAGATGCTGGCTATATGTGGAAGTTGCTAGATATCATGGTTTCACAGATATAATATGAACATCCATACAATTCAAATATACATATATTAAAGTTGTTTTTTTTAGATTAGATAGTGGTACAACAAAATTGCAGAATGTTATCGGAAAACTATGCCAGCCTAGAATAATTATTTAAATCATCATCATCAGAATCATTAAATTCAAAATTATTGTCTTATTTTGAAATATTGTTGTATATAACAGCATGATTTCAGGTTAACATAAAATGATAGATTTACTACTAAACTAATTTCAGTAAGTTTTAAAATAATTTTAGAAATTTGTCAGTTTTGTATGACGCCTAAATTCTACATATATAAATGTCAAAGGGCAGGAAAATTGTATGCTAGTACTGCACCATAATTCTGATGATATGTATTAAGAACCATCTGATGTGACAGTGATAATAATTATTTTCTTTATTATACTCTGATATATTTTTTTTTGTTATAATAACTATAGTAGAAGAATTAAATTTAAGATTGCATGTGCATTTTGTTTATTTTTATTGTTTATCGGAAATGTACCTACTGCTTGACCTGAATTCCAAAATATAAATAAATATCCTTTTGTTATATATGATTCGTTTCTGTATTTTTCAACACAAACACAAGTCAAGAATGTCCTATGTCCACACTGATGACTTTTTGTCTCCTGTCACCGAGCTTTACAATCCTTGCTGCTGGGCGATTCTGTAAAAATTCGAGCCCGAATTTGAATTCACTCATGTGTTTGGATTCATTCACGTCGAATGACTGAATAGTGAAGAAATTCTATTGATTCCATTTTTTGTATTAAAACGAAAAAGCAAATTTATTTATTATACGTGTCTCAGATAGTCTATTCTTATCTCATTTCGTAACTCACTTAATTTATACCACGGAACGTTATAAATTTAATTTATACCAATTCAAGATTAAGCGGATGGCGCTTTTTAAAGTGAATTCGGATATCTGAGTGAATTAGCAATAACCAATGTGCGCATAGCTTAAAAATGAGATTTTAATATCTGATATAATATTTTATAGGGGCTTATGTGACACCACTTTAAACCTAGGTTTCCAGATTTCGTAATTTTACTTAAATATAGAATGTAAAAAACGTAGGATATAGAAACTTATTTCTGCGTAGAACAATTCAAGGCGTGTTTGTGTGCCTTTCAGGCAGCATAATAGATGTAACTCATGTTGTGACATCATCGATAGGGTCAATGACAGGTCCCCTAATACCCGCGCCTAAATAAAGCCGTTTGAAAAAACTATGAAAAATCGTCCTTGTAATAAGCGTTCCTTGACTGATTTTACCTGCTTTATGGTTTTATTTAAAACTACTCGTACGATCAGCGACCATTGGTCCTAGCTTCATAGTTCACACCCGGTTTATAGGCTTCTTCAACAAACATTATCATAATTAATTCATTTAGACAAAATCTCGATATCGAAGTGCTGGGTCGGCGATACAAAAGATAAGTGACTTTCGCAAGGGTCGGTCACAGGATGGACGACCAAAAATTATTCACCTCGATCTCCTCTGTGCTCCGAAACACGTTACACCGACGGCCTCGATTGAATCTGAAGTCGTTAATTCTCACTAATCCGCATTTTGCCCGCGTGGCCGGTTGTAGCGTTAGTCCTTTCTCAATATTCAATTTGATTCGATTTCATCCATAGAAGGCCAGTGTCCCAGTAGTGGGAACATTTATAATGTATTATTCTGGTAATGACATCGTTTTTGTGAATGTCATTACACCTATTAGAGTTGGTGAGTTTCTTGCTCGTTCTTCTTAACAGCCAAAAGACGTCCTGAAGGAGTGATAGGGAAAAAATGTTGGACGATTCAAAAGTACCTACTCTTAAGAAGTCTATCTGAATAAAGATTATTTTGACTTTGACTTTTGATTAAAAGATTGACGATGAGACAAAAGCTCCCTCAAAAATTTGCTCTACCAATCCGCCTCGCCGTTGGGGCCAAGTGGAATAACTTTTTGAAGAATTTCCTCTTCTCTTCTCTTCTCTTCTCTTCTCGCACCACTGAATTTTATTTAACCGGGGAAATCTACTAATCTACTAATTTAAAAGATGCCGTATTTTGTCCTATTAGGGTTGGTTTTTATTGTGTAACTAGCTGGTAGATAAGTGTTTAAATTAAACTAAAAAATATTGTACCATATTTTTACGTATTTATTATTTGCTTTGAAGCGCAGATCAATTACATTGTTTTTTCTTTATAAATACCTATAACAATTTACTACTGAGAAGGGTTTATGCTTAGGCAAATGAATAAAAGGCTGACTAAGCTCGAGAACTTGATTTATTATAGGGTAACAAAAAATTGTAACAAACAAAAAAGAAATATAAAAACAGTTCGTAGGGTTACCTAAATATATTTAAAAAAATAGTTAAATAGAGCAATTACATACCCCGTTTCTGGGTTTTCCGTATTAGGTAGAACTTATTTAAATAATATTAAATGAATATTGGATTTATATGATTAAATATTATTAAATCATGTTCTCGCCGGATGACTTTTTTTACGAAGTGATATTACCTAGAACGAAATAAAGGTCGTACGACGTACCGTTACAATACTTTGACATGTTCATTCATACTTTATTACGGACACGAATGATTAAAATAAATTTGTGGATTTGACACTAGTGTTAAGTATTGATTTAGTTGTTATCCACCAAAAAGACCAAAAAAGGACATATTAAAGTATTACAATTAAGCGAAATATGCCTATAGCCAAAGATCGTTAAGACGTCGCATTCTATGGGTCATACTCCAAACCCATCGGCTTTGGAACCTATGATTGTTTCTTAATGACCAGCCTGGTTACCAAAAGGGGTTGATCGTTTTCTTGAGCCACTCCACGTCTGTACTCATGTTTTTAATGGCTCATTTATATTGGCCGATGGGTTTTGGACACGCGAGTGCGGGCGACGTTTATGCACTCATATCATTGGTCAAAACAATGACAGACCAATGAAAGCGATGAACAGATAGTCTCCGTAAGCCGAAGGTGGATGTCATCTATGAGTGTAAATATAGCATAAGGGTTCTGATATAAACAAAAAAAAAAAAAAAAAAAAACTATAGCAAAAAAACGCAAAGTTACCCTTAAAAACAATATTTCTATTTCTGGTAGGAAAAAATTGATAAGCTTTAGAAAGATTATCGAAAGAAAAAACACTAAAAACAGATAAGATTATCCGTAGAGTAAACACACGCGCTAGAACTCTGATTTACAATCGATAATATTTACCGACTTAAATAAAACACCACCGGGACTCGAACCTGTAGCAGCTCGCACTGTCCACAATTCTATTTAGTGCTATCTTCTGTGCTAAAATCGTTTACTGAAAAATCATGATGTTTGTGATAAAATTCAGGCCAAATAAGCGGAACCATATTTTTTTATTAAGCGTCATAATTTGTTTTTAATAATGCCGTTATCATGGCGTTTCAAGTTACAGCTGCTCGTGGTGAGGTTGTGAACGTGCCTATATCGTATTCACAAACTACATAGGGTGTGTATACGTAGTACGTAGTTCGTATACGACACTTCATCAGACCTCTGAAACCACACCAGATATTCCTTTAGTAGTGTACTCTTATGCCCATTTTCACTTAACTTAGGAGTCGCCTAAAGTGAAATGTATTGCACCAGTGACTAGGTTCCTTTAGGTGGTTACCTAACGAAATAAAGGAATGTCTAAAGTAATGATATTCGTTTTGCAGCGCCTTGCGTTAGGCATTTGTGTAAATACAGGTCATAAATATGTCAAATATACCTATATTTATTTGAAATACGAGTAAAACTAATCTGCTTAGGCGGTTCCTTTATATTAGGCGTTTCCTAGTTAAGCTATGATTTGTTCTAGGTTAGTGAAAATGGCTGTTAGAGTCGGAAAAGAGAAAAGTAACAAAAAGTAAAGAAAGTAAGGAAGGTATAAGCAACTTCACCTTACCTATATGAAATTATTATAGTCGGACGGTTAATATTGATTTACACAAAATCTCCGCCCGACTTCAATAGAAATTTTAATGAATATAATTATTATGAATATGCCTTTAAGATAACTTTTATTTTCTACGTTTCGAAAGTCGGTTATTTTTAGTGCACTTGCCATCTTAAAGTATGGCCTTATGTGATTAGCATGTGCGGATTTCATTTTTACCTGTAAAATTGTCAATTATATCAGCAGACGTGACCTACAACACATTTTTTTATAATTAAGAAACAATCAGTGTTAAAATTAATCACTGTTATCATTAATAATTCTACTAAATAAGGAAAACCTGCTATCTGTTTGTCTATCATTGTCATATAGTCGTTAACCTAAATTGCAATTTACAATCTGAGTGAGTACGTGGGGGCCCGCATCTATATATATAAAAATGAATCGCAAAATGTGTTGGTAAGCGCATAACTCAACAACGCCTCGACCAATTTGGCCAAATCTTTTTTTAAAATGTTCGTTTAAGTTCAAGGATGGTTTTTACGGCGAGAAAAATTAGAATTATTGCTGGAAAAACCCTAAAAATAGCCCTTTTCTTTTTCCCATACAAATGATTTGTAACTAAAACGTAGTCAATTTGAGCTTTATTGCTATGGTATAAAGTTCATATTAAATTACAAGCACTCACTGTTGTCTAAGCAATGTAGGTGTGTTCCTAACGTCAAAGATCATATCTATCAAAACAATGTGCGTGTGTGCGTTGGAGCACAGAATACATAGTTGGAGGAGTTTAATGTCGCGTTTCGAAACTCGCGTTTCTTTTGTATTAGTTTCGGCACGCGAGATAAAATGCATCAGTTTCCACGTCATTACATGTAGGTATTGCCGGAACATTGATGAAAATACGCTCTGTAGTAGCAAAGCTGTTGGGTCCTAGATAGCTCATTGGTTAGAGCAGTCCCTGGATCGCGAATGGGTTCGAGTCCCATTCCGGGGTACAGGTAGATGGATTCTTCCAGCATTTTTCCTTGAGAATGTTTATATATTTTTTTAATTCGAATAGTTTACTTTTATAATGCTGTTGTGTGTAATGTGTTTTTATGATCATAAAAATCTCTTTTTTCTATATTTAATACTATTACTATTAATACATTGCAATAATAATTATGATTCACATGATTAACAATAAAGCGATTACTTACTTTTAAATCCTTATATATGTTTTATTTAATTATTTTTTATTCACAACGCCCTATCACCAGGGTGACGGTTCTGTTCAGGAGAATTTTTTTAAATACGTAGGCAAAAAAACTGCCACATTACAAATCTTTTTGACAGGACGAAGTCTGTCGGGTCAGCTAGTGTTAACATAAAACGTACGCAACTATTTAAAAATTAAGGCATTTGGTACCTTATGCCTTTATGTTAAGGAGTATACAACACGTTTGTTTACAAACAACCGAATAGAAATATCTGACTGTTCGAATGCATGCACCTCAATGCCGTTAGGCGTGAAATGTAATAAAGTTTTTATTTACTGTGAATTAAAGGCCGTATTGGCTTGAATTATTTAAACACTTTTTATTAGTAGAATAAACATAAATAAGATAGTCCTAGACGCCGGTTCCAAAATTAAACTAAAAGTTTATTGTAATAGGTAACATATGCAAGTCTATTAAATTGATAAATAAATAAAATCCGGTCTGACTTTAATCTTCGGAAATACTAATTGGATTATAAAAATTCTTTCACCTACAGGAAGCTACAGCATAAGTATTAACATTAGTTATAATTTACGCAGGATACGCTTGTATAATTATAATAATAATATGTCTGTCCAATTTATAAGTTTGGACGGTTAAAAGTTTGAATAAAACTAATATACCTGTAAATATTTATACAAAATTGAATAACACTTGATTTCATAAAATCACATTGTACACAAGAAAAAAATTAATACAAAAATATAGCAACAGAAGATCATATTCAACTTATTACATTCATCCATACCTAAAGTAATATAAACATAGACCTTTGCTATAATCCCAACATGAATTAAAGTTTTTTTTTTAAATAAATGCGTATTAAAACGCTTCTTAGATAGCAAATTTTCTCGTATAAAAAAAATTTGCCTGTTTATAAGAGTTTTAGATTCAAAATATAGTAGATACTGTCTTTGACTGTTTTCTTAATTGAACTTCTGTATGATAAATGGATCCTGTCTCTAAGACAAGCACATGTACATACCGGTTCACGAGTCCCCCACCCTACGGAGCCAGTTAAATAAAACCAATCCGGCATTCTTACCAGCCAGTAACCGGTGTTTCAACGGCAGTCAAATGAAACGAGCGCCCTTTCCCGCTCGTGTTAAGTGACAATTTATTTTTTAAATAATTTTTTAAATGTGTTTTTATTGCGTGGCGTTTTGATACACGAGGTGGTTTAAGTTTACAAAATATTTAAAATGGCGGTCTCACTAATTAGATTAGGATTGAGATCCGTTACATTCAATTTGGAGAGGAGTGCAGTTATAGTATCTAGTTCCAGTGCCCAGAATCATTTCAAAGTAAGTTATATGATTTATGATTATGTCATTCACATTTGGAGACGTGTGTGGTTCTTAGAAAGTTGTCTATGCGGAACTTTCTATCCATGTGGTAGAAGAAGAAGCAACCAGCAAGCAATTAGGCATTATATCGATTTATCATTTGGTAGTATCAAAATATCAATTGATCACCAAAGTAAGTATAATATAGTTCATTCCTTGTGAGTTACAAGATTTCCCGAATAGAAGGTAGGAAATTAATTATGACGTAGGTAGTAAACGAGCTTTTAAAAACTTGATTAAATGTTAAGTAGGTATTTTTCTATATCGGTGTTTTATCACTTACATAAAACAGCTTTGAAACAGTATATGTACCTGCACATCTAAGATTTTTTATAATTTAAATTCAACAAATCAATATGTTTTTCTAGCGTAAAAAAATATGTGATTTTATTTAAGCAAATTTTTGCTAACTCGGTGCAAACATTATTTATGTGTGGATTTTCGAATTTGAATCGTAATGGCTATAAATAATAAATGTATGGATTTGGTCCAGTAAATATAATAAGTAAGTATACCTTTACAAATGATATCATATCATTTTATAATAAAAACAACGTGATAACCTTATTATTATCATATTAATAGGCAGCCGGCCAATATTAAATAAGGTTTATTATTGTAATTTGTCTCTTAGTTGGAGACTTTTAAGTTCGAATTCCAAACATTATTAAAATACGATAAGAAACAGCAAGTTCATAACATTCGGTAATGTATGAGTAGGTATTGTATGTAAAACAGTAGGTAGTTTGGTGGTAGCACAAAAGATTACGTAATTAAATATTTGCATGAAGTCTTAAGACAGTTCATTGGACATACTTTAAGGTACCTAAGTGTTAAAAAAAGCAAATAAATTTATTACATTTACAGGATATGCTTCCCTTAACTACTTATTTTAAAAGTAGGTACCTACAGAACAAGCACCTATTAATAAAAATAAAGAAGTGCTTACCATTATATTTTAATAAAAAGCTACCCCAGTTCGATGAAAGTAAACCAAAGACATTTCACGGATTTTTATGTAATATTCATTAATGAAAGGACGCAACCATCTATTTTACATAATGAAGAAGGTGTTGATGTTCTTGGTTCAGAAAATGGTGATGACAAAAATTATAATTTTGTGGACTGGTCATCTATAATTGTTCTTAAATTATCAACATATATAAATATAATTACATTATACATACTATGTTACATCTCTATAATTAATATACACAAATGTTTACATTCTATTTATCGCAACAGAAGTTCGATGACCTCACATGTGTAGCTCTGCAAACAAATTGTAAAGGCGTGCTTTCATTGTGCTTTTAACATGACTAAGTGACAAAGTATAATTTTAACCTTCTTACAACCTTTGACATATTTATTTTCATTTGTTTCTGTCACAATATGACAACTTCAGTATGGACCCATATTTCATTTATTTATTTTATGATCTACTCTTTCAATATTGAAAATGCGATAAGCTTCTATGCAAAGTTTGTAGTGTCAGCGCTAATGATGAAAAAACCATCACAAAAACTGTATCTCCGACCAGTTTCAAGGTTATTTAACATTAAAAAACATCAACACGCTTCACTAATATGTACTGGCGGTACCTGCCCGCCATTAATAAATCTATAAGTACAAAAAAGGACGAACGGCTGCGAACCCACCATGGCGGCCTGTCTTTTGGCGCGAAACAAATAAAAGTTGTTTCTAAGATGTCGGTGTTGACATCGTCAAATGCTTACAGCCAAGAATAATAATAAGAATTGTAACGCTGTTTATCTTTTGTTTTTTAAATAAGTATGACGTTTTAAAACGAAAGTAAAAACTTGGTTAGTGGGACTACAGTCTCATGTTTTTTACTATTTGTCTAATAATCCTATTAATGTTCGGTATTAATTCAGATGACATTTTTGTCGAGCTTTAGATATTCGAATTTCATTCTCACTGATATTGGGGTTTGATTAAAATATCTGGTATAAAAGCCCTCTACTTTTCTATTTTTAAATATATTTTAGTTGGAGCTTATCGCACTTACGCGCGCGGTGTACCGTGTGTCATGTATAGACCACAGAAAATTTTAATATGGTCACGGGATATATATTTTTTTATTTAGTTTATGTCAATAAAATGCCACGTAGCACGGATATTTCACTGGGAAGAATTGAGAAGAGCTTACTCAGCAACGACTTGTTCACCCGTTTTAAATTTAAAAAACTATCTCAAACGACAATAATGAAAAATCATATTAATTTCTTACTAACAACACAAAATAAACGTTTGATTACAATCGGTGATTTTTGTGTTCGATTTAGCGGTAGTTCTCGAAGGCAGCCTAAATTGTGATTTCCTCTTCTAGAGGCGCTAGGTCATTGCTCTTACTGTATTTTGTCTATGGCTAGGCGATACGAATAGAAAGCGTCACGCAAGGCTTAACCTGGGCCTGGGCATAAAACAGTTAGCCATGTACTTTCTATATTTGCAAAAGTACAATAAGTTTTCTTCAAATCATGAAACTATTAGGTAGGAAACAAACACTTAATTTTGTGATTTTTACAGTTGTTTCTTCAAAAGCCTTATCTAATTTTATGTAACAGTATTTTTTTACTTTCCCTTTGTTCGTGTAAACAAATTTGACCTTTACTCAACGTCTTGTATAGCCAAGGTAAACGTGGGACGACGATACGCTGGACACGTAGCTACGTTGCGTTGCCATAGTTTATTGACTGCCCTTTATACTTTTTAAGAAATGGTTTTGTGAAGTTTTGATCAATATTCCTTAATCCTTAATTTTGATTATTATTTTCATCGTGGTTTCATTACTTTTTTGGAGTTTCGATTGTTAATCTCGATTGGTCGTTTTTGTAAATTTGGTCGTTGTTTTCGATGTTCCTATTATTTTTTCTTAGTATCGATTCTTTTTAAACGTTTTTTTTTGTTGTAATTTTGGTTACTTTTCTTAGATAGATTTAATTGTATTTTTTCTGTATTTCTATTGTATTGTGATAATTATCGCCTAACATCGCAGAGAGATAGAGGTGGTTGAAAATCACCGCCATCCGGGAGTACAATCCTGATTCACCATTGGTTGAACTGAACTAAGCTGAACATTTAAAATGGCTGATGTATGTTTGTTATGAGAAAGCGATAAAGATGTTTTCAATTTCATTTTTGATTGTTTTCCCGTGGATAATTTGACTTTTTTTTCCTAATTTTAATTGTAAAATTTTGTATTTTTTTTTAAGTTTATTTTTACTGAGTTTCGATTTGAGTTTTGATAGTTTTTTCATATAGGTATTTATTCATTGTTTCTATTCCTGTTTTCTTAGTTTTGATAGATTTTTTGTAATTTTAGTTTTAATTTCGTATTTCAATTGTTTTGAGAGTCCCGCACAAAAAAAGGAAACTGAACCCTCACACTTTAGATTGATCTTTATAAGCTTAATCATTTCTTATACTTGCAACTTCATTGAATATGCGTTTAAATGCAATACAAGATTTTCTTGTTGTTAACCCAACTGTATTCCAATTTAACAGCGTCCACATTTAACAAATAACTTTAACTTGTTACTATAAAGTCAATTTTAGCACATACGGGTGTTCAGATTGTCATATCACGCAAATTGACCTCGAAATGATTGGCGAATTGGTTCACGGATACAGCATTCGGATTGGTATGATAAGTAGGTATATGTCAATTTTGCCTAAATTGAAGGCAACGCTTCGATATTTAATATGCTTGATTCTTTAAAAAACAGACAAGAAATGTCTTATTTTATATCTGCAATTAAGGAAAAGGGCAACACGTGAACAACATAAAATAAAATGAGTATTAGACTAAAACCAACATTGCTCTGATCAAGTCGCATTATGGAAACCTGGAACAATAAAGACTGACAAACGCACACAGACACGACGATATATTTTAAATAATAAAGGTAGTTGTCCTGTATTGACTCTGTCTTGAATCGAATCCAAAACTTGAGACAGTGACCACATTAAAATCGGAGCCATTCGGCCACGTAAATAGACAGTCTGAAATTGTATTTTATCTTTTTATATATTTTGTTTATGTATCGTATTCAGTCTTCCATTTCGGTGATTTATTGACTTATGAAGGTCCCCCATTAGAATCTGATCACTACATATCTGATCATCAGATAGGTGACCGATATGTTGCGATCTGCATGTCTCGGAAACAGTCCAGCTTGCATTTATAGCACCAACCTGCCCCTGGGTGTGGGTAGTGGATTACAGCCTTCTCTCCAAACATATGGACGTAAATATTGTGCTGATGATTCAAGTCTGAGGATAAGTTTATATCGATCTATAACATTTGAAGTCGTTCATCAATGAAATGTACCTACAGTACAGACTGAACAGTTTTGTTATTATATGTTTTATAGCCTTTATAAATAAATTTGTGATTATTCGCTTTCATACTGAGATCCTTTTATTTTTAAACTCAAATATGTAAAAAATACTTAACATAACATAAGCCTTTTTGTCGATAGTCAGGTTTTTTTTCAAAACGCGAGTATTATTAAAGAAGTTATGTATTTATAATCACATTTAAAACGAAACAAAATTGCTTCTTAGTACGGCGCCATCTTTTCTCTACAGTCAGAGATTAGTAGTCAGCGACCAATATTGTTTGATGATGGTTTAAGATAGAGGAATACAAAACAAAACTTATATTACCTATAAATGCTTACAATAATATTGTCTTTGATTAAATACATAAAAGTCGGAACGATATTTTTCCGATATTTCCAATAACCATCATAATTTGTGTACACAATCCGAACTTCTTTCATTATTTATTTCATCTTTATTTTGAAATGAAAATGTTCTGAATTTTTTAAGTTTTTTGCAACCTTTGGCTTTGTTTTAATAAAAATAAGGATATTTATAAGTAAGGATGGCAAATGATCAAGGATTTGCGGTATTAAATTAATTCAAAGTCAAGTAATGTAGTAAACAAATCAACTGTACACAAGTTACTGGAGTTTTAAATTGTATTTTATCTTATCAATAACGTAAACAGGAAAGCTGGTTATGCCCCTGATTATTTTTCAATTCCATTCCGCAAACATCGAAACTAAATATTTATTGACCTCCAAATTGGTATTGTTGTTGTGTTGTCTGCTGGTAGGCTACGTGATTGTAGGCAGCGCACTACACAATCAAGGTCAGTTTATTGTGTATTTATTTAATGGCAAAATCATTACCCGGAACGTTAATATTGGAAGCAATGATGTAAATCATGGATGTTCCTATGTCTTTTGATATGATTCCCAATTCAATTGCTACCTTCTGAAGCTTAAGATTGATCATAATTCTTAAATTATGTTTGGAGCTATCCAATTCCATTCCATCGCTTACAGAGCTTTCATCTTCTGGTCTATAGGTATGTGCTTCAAAATGTATGCTATATTTTGTGTATCGCTGGTTCAATTTAAAGCAAAGATGTAAATATACTTCATGATCAATGAAATGTTGAAATGAAATGTATCTGTTTCATTTGCAGTGTCCAGTTAAGATCCGATACTACTACGGATGTTGGATCTGTTCAACTTAAGCTCTGTTTTGTTGATGCACCTACTATACTCGTGCCGATATTGGAGCTTTTATAGAATTCATTATCAGTTTTCTATCGCGATTTTCACAATTCAGTATAAATGCTGGACGCATGATGGTGCTCAGATGGCCCTTTCCCATAGCAGAATTGCAGAAAAATACTGAGATGTCCGAAACACTGTATTAGTGAGTAGATGACCATCTATATACCCGAGCTGACCTTAATACACACGAAAGAGGAACATATTTGATAAAGGCTGTTTGTAAACAATCTGAATAGGTACACTAAAAACGTGTTATAGATTAGATTTTTAGTTGCAAGTGTCTTACCTAAAGGTACATAGAGTTTATTCGATTGATGATTTCGTTTTGTTCGAGGATAAAATACGCATTTTAATATCTATATTAATACTAATGTTGCTATCTCACAAAATATCTTAGTCAGAAAAAAAAACATAAAATATTAAGAACAAAATCCACCGGTTGTTTTCATTTAGATATAGGTTTATTTTGAAGGTTACAATAAATCACCACAATATGCGAACAAAATTTAAGAACAATTTATATATTAAAATGCTTATCTAACAGGTTATTAAACCAGATTAAAGCAAAACATGTTATGTAAAAGGTAATCGGTTTCGTCATGACTTGTATAACAATTTTATATCTACCTACTACTTAGGTAGGCAATTATTTGTTTTGACTTTTCAAGCCTTTTTAACCCCTAGATCCATACTTATTTTATAGTAGCTGTTTTCCCGCGACAATTTTACTAAACTTATGTCATCCGCGTATATTGTAGCCTTCCGCAGGTGAAAGAATTTTTAAAACGGGTACAGTTTCTGTCGGAGCCGATGCAATGCAAACAAACAATATTTTTTTTTTATAATATAAGCACCTATAACTAGATACAAACAAAACGTTAGGTCTATTAATTAGGTGCGCGGTGTATGGCCTTCGGGCCGATCCCGTGCATCGCCTTCCATGCGAGTAAAAAAAAAGTCTATTAATTAGGTACCTAACATTTTGTATTTTTAGGGTAAAATGGGAACTCTGTTAGTAAGACTCCGCTGTCTGTCTATCAACAGGCTGCTGTCTGTCACCGCTGTCTGTCTGTCTCATGAGCCGTGAAAGTTAGACAGTTGAGATTTTCATAGCTGATGTATTTCTGTTGCCACTTCAACAACAAACACTAAAAAACAATAAAATAAATATTTAAAGGCTAAAGCTTTTGTTGTATCTTTGAGGAAACACCACCATTATGACTTTTAGAATAAATACAAAATAGACTTACTGTTGTAACTCCATTTATTGGTTAATCTCTTTACATCTTCAATCATAGCGAGCGGATAAAAGTAAGATGGCGTTGCCATAGAGTTGGACTTCTCTTCTATCATAGGGATGTGACACATACACAACAGCTTTCATACAACAAACGTGATATTTTGCCCGTTTTCGGTGCGGACCCTTCGTGCGCGAGTTCGAGTCGCTCTTAGCCGGTTTTTCTTATATAAAAATGGGCAGGCTAGAGGTTATACAGTTATGTAAAGTACCTACACATGTTATTTGTAAATAAATGTACACCATTTTGTCGCGGCAATCTATTGTTCTCATCATTACAATAGCCTTTTGGTGATCCAGTCTTGGATAGACCATTCTCCTTCACCTCCACTCCTGGCGATCTTGTATGCTACTCGTCCAGTCTCACCTACGTTTTCCAGTCTGCCACATTCTCTGGTATACGTTCTCTGGTCTTCATTCCAGGACTCGTCTTGTCCAGCGATTTTAGCAGCATTCTAGTACATTCTGTTGTTATGAAAAGTTTAATAGGCACTTCATGTGACACTACTTTCTATGAGTGGTTTTGTGTCATCTACCTACAAGCGAAACGGCTATTTGATACAATGGGAAGTGAGACACCAACTGGCTTGGAAAGAATAGAAAATGGCATTAACTTTACCGTGACGGTACTAACAAAAAATATAACTGTACTACAGCACCTACTTGCTGTAAAAGATTAACGGGTGTAGAGAGGTGAAAAGGAAAACTTAAACAAACTACCTATATTTATTTAGCTTTTGAATTCTGCAGTTACTTATCATAAGTACTCGTAGGTACATTTTACATACAATTTACAAAATCAAAGTGTTGATTGCCAAGACAACGCGCATTGAGAGAATATTAAATAAAAACCAACAGATTGTTTAGTCGATTAATTGTCAGTCTTGTGTGCAAAGAATAAAGTTTATAATAATTTGGTACTCATTATTGAGTGAACACAACACACAGGTCAATGAACTTTATCGTTGCACATCGATGCGAGTCGAAACGCACGGTCTATTTATAGAATGCTGTTGCAAATATTTTGCTTACTATTTTAAATAGTCTCCACGTATTTATTCATTGAATACGATTAACTAAAATACCGACCAAGTGCGAGTCAGACTCGTGCACGAAGGGTTCCGTACTGAAAACGAGCAAAAACAGATTTGTTTTTGGTATAGGAGCCCTATTTATTTATTTTATTCTATTTTTTTAAGATTTCAACTGTTTAATTGTCACGGTTCATAAGATACAGCCTGATGACAGACGAACAGACAGACAGGAAAAAAACTACCTAAAGGATTTTCATTACATTTTTTAATAGTTGGAGTAATTTCTGAGGAATGTCTTGGTGTATATTTATTTAAAGGTTTACATATATTCATTGACTTAAATATGTATATGTTTATAAATGACGTCTGAAAAAACTGATTGGTAGCATACATGCATTGCACTCTGCGCCTTAAATTTTCAAGCAACCTTCTTAAGCGCCAGTTATAAATGGGTGATCAAAATATATACTTGTACTATTGCGAGCTCCTATTGAGTAGCTCGGTAGCGTAGTGGATAAGCGCCGCGGCCCGCGATCGTAGTCGTTAAGCAACTTTCGCAAGGGTCGGTCACGGGATGGGTGCCCAAAAAATTATTATCTCGAGCTGCTCCGTGCTTCGGAAGGCACGTTAAGCCGTTGGTCACGGCTGCATTTGCAGTCGTCAATACCCTCCAATCCGCACTGGGCCAGCGTGGAGGGTCATGGCCCATCCTCCTTAACCATCCATAAGGAAGGCCTGAGCCCCTGCAGTGGGGACGTAAAAGGGCTGGTGATGGTGATGTGATTGCGAGCTCCTTCGGGATTCGTGTCTTAGGATGTTCGTTCCGTCTGTACTGGCAGTTGCTGACACCTACAATCCATATTGAGACCGCCTGGTTGATTATAGCTTGTCTTCCCTAATCAATTCCATCCATAGGGAAGGCCCATGCCCCAGTATTGGGGACATTGGTAGTCATCCTATCTTGGTGATTAATTATATCCACTCTCATTATTTTTCAGTTATTCCACACTAAACCAGTATGCCAGAACGGCGTGTGCTACCTGCAACAGGAGCGATCCCGCGAGGAGCTGGAGAAGAGCATCAGCGCGCTGCGGAGGTACAGCAAGCACCACGGCAGACCAGAAGAGGACCGCAGGAAACGGAAACAAGAGAGCGATAGCGACAGTGACTCGGACAGTGACACAGAATGCAAAGCACTGGAACGGGTGAGCCTTTTATATTGTCGTCTTTTGATCCAGTCTAGGCTAGCTATTACAAACTGTAAAAGGCGAAAACTAAAAAACGCTATTGGTGCAAAAATCTACGGCAGGAGACCTTCCATTGAGATGAACCGATAAGAAACCCGGCAAGAGCAGCTTTTTTCTCTCATTTCATACGGAGCAGTCCGATTGAGAATTGATTTTATTAGAATATGAAGTCACTGTTAATCGCAACATTAAAAATAACAGAACCAGAATAATGTGCCGTGATACCTATAATACGCATTGATACGAAAGATGAGGACGATTGGCATACAATAAACAACTTTCGCGAAGATCGGTCATGGAAAGTTCTAACGAGAATCTTTGCATATTTGGTTCTAAAACAACGTTCATTAAGGTTATGGCCCGTGTTATGCTAATATTATAAAGAGGAAAGGTTTGTTTGTTTGCACTGAATAGGCTACGACTGGATAGACTTTTAAAATTCTTTCATCTTCAGGGATCATACGCGGGTGACTATAATTAGCTTGGTACTTTTTGTCGTTACATTTATAATTCAATAATTTTTCATTATTATTTCTTGCAGTCTGAATTTTGGCGCCGCAAAATGCGCACTGTCCACAACATCCTGGACGTAGACAAGGACGGACTGATCTCATTCAACGACTTCGTGCTGTTCGGGGAGAGATTCAAGGCTCTCGGCCACCTGGACGAATTACAGGCGAAAGAGTTCTCAGATATTATTAAGGTAAAATTACATTCTTCCATTAAAAATACAAAAGATTAGGCGCAGTCGTTTTAAAGATAGTGGGGAATTTCGCCTCTTTTTTTATATTCACAACAAGCCCAAGCAAGTGATCATACGAATTATTAGGGCATAATTTTCAACCAAAAACTATTTCCACGTCATCACTCTCAAATAGTTTCATTTACAACTAATGTATTGGTATCTATAAAATAATACAGGTTTGGTCTGACTCTATTTAGAAAATTTTCCTTGATGTGGATTGACATACGATTTAGCACCGTACTACACAGCCTGTAGGTCTGCCGCGTTACTGAAGACCTTGATCGGTCAAAATAAAGCCTTGAATGATTTGTCAATGTGGAAGATCAATTTTCAGCAGACAAATCAGAATTGGTCTTTCGAATTCTAGACCTATCCTGATTGGTCTGCTGTCAGTCACATCTATATTTCTACATATTAATTAAGACTAGTTACGCGGTAGAGCCACTGACCTTTAACATATCGGGAAAAATGGAATCTTCTCTATCTGCACACCTATGTCAGTCACAGTAAATTCGATCTTATTTCTCACTATTAAGCTATATCTTTTTTATTTTATAGTTAACATGGGAGGAGCAATGGGGTGCGATAGACCCATACAATTTCGTGACAGTGGAGCAGTATTTAGAAGATATGCATCACGTCCTCAACGACAAGACACTCAAGAAGAAGGCTCATCGTTGGCTACCATATTTGTTCAAAGTAAGTTTACTATTTATCTGTATTTTAATTAATACAGAATTTAAAAAAAAAAGTAGTTTTGACTTTATGGCTGGCGAACTCAAACTAATTTATTTATGAACCAGTGTACCCATCAATAGATAGATATACTGCTAGGGAACAGACCTTGCATTTACATGAAATCGAATAGAGAATGGAATATAACCCACCAATCCCCACCGGTGGGTACCGGTGCGGATTGATAGGTGTTAATTGCAGAAGCAGCCGCGAACTAACGACTTAACGTGTCTTCAGAAGACGAAAGAGCTCTAGATTACTAATTTTTGTTAAAATGTCAAAGTAAATTTTAGCACCATTATCTCTAAGTTTACTGACTATACTTTATTTTTTCCCGCAGGCGGTGGACAAGGATAATTCTGGCTTTATATCGGTGAAAGAGTTCAAGCTGTTCTTCCAGTGTCTCGGGCTGGACAACGAACACGCGGCCGTCGCCTTCGCGGTCATAGACACTAACGGGGTGCGTATTAAACAAAACAATAATAATGCTCCTTTCTAATATTTCTGCGCATACATTTAATGAAACTTTCGAACGGGATAAAAGAGGGTAAGTATAGATAACTCAACTCGTAGTAAAAAAGTAGATACTCAAATGTATACGTTGAGTAATTAACGCCTTACCCTTTCGGTGAATTAAATGATTTACACGTAACAAATAGGGTTATCGTCATAAATGGGAAAGGAAATGTAAGAAAAGCAGAAAGAAGAAAACATGGTATGTGTAAGAAACATTGAGATGATGGTTGATCGAGAAGTACGGAAGAAGAATACATATTGCACATGCGCAATACAAAATAATTCCGAATATTGTTATTTTGTTTAAATTAATAAGTGATTTGAGTTTTTGAAACCATCCTATATTAAGGACACTATGTATATTTAAAATTGTCCACATTATTCTAAAATATACCTCCATCAACTGCGGAGACATCCAAGAATTGAATAATTTTAAATATTTCATTTTTATTGTTTCAGGACGGAAAATTATCTTTGAAAGAATTCGTGAAGTTGGGAAAAGACTTTTTCTTCACAGAAGACGAGTCTAGAGTGTCCAAGATGTTCTGGGGTCCCCTGACTGAGATCTAATACAATCTCAACTCAATACTGTTAGGAATAAGAGTCATCGATGTATAAGAGTTAGGTTATAGTTTTCAGTGAGTTATTGAATATTTTTTGTCTATATATTTATTTAATATAGACAGTTAGGTAGTTTATTTTAGTTAGGAGATATAGAAGACTAATTAATGACAAACAAACTTATGACAATAATTTAATGAATTTTAAAAGAAAATAATACTTAAATATACAGTAAATACCATTAAAGACGATTTACTTTAAGTAATAATATGAATAATTCGTAATATTTTTGATAAAATATCAAAAAGTATACACGACAATTGTATTTCAATAAATGAAGACTTCTGTTTAAGAAGACAATAATGAACAAATAAATGAATGCATTCCTATTGCATTATTTTATGTACTGTGACTCATTTATTTTCAAATGAAATAACAGAATCTCAAATAAAATATGGACAATACGAAACTTTGTTTTATTTTTATGCAAATGAGTCACCATACCCAGGTTTTTGAGTAACTCTTTGGCGCGATCTTTGATTGCTAAGCAACTTTCGCAAGGGTCGGTCATGGGATGGGTGAACGAAAAATATTATCTTGAGCTATTCTGCGCTTTGGAAGGCACGTTGAGGCGTTGGTCCCGGCTCCATTATATATGTTTCTGGAATTTAGCTATAATTATATATTTCTGAAATTTAGCTATAACAGTCGAACTTCTAACTTTCTCAATTACGATAGGTGAAGTAAGGTAAGTGATAGGTATGGTACTGCAATTTGAAACTTAAAGAGAACATAATAATATTAACCCTTTTCATACATTATAATGACAGACTGTGCAGTCTCAGTGGATAGCGAAGGGTTACGCGTTCTTCTGTCTCTTTCTAATAGTGGTTTTCAGGTGACAGGTAATCCGTTCTACTTTTCAAATCTTTCTGTCATACGTCTACAGAGGTTTGTTATAAAATTGTTGGATTTTTACCCTTTAAACAAACAGGACTTTTGTTAATTTAAAAAATGAAGTTTCAATATAAATCTTTATTAATATCAAGTTCTCATAACATTATGAAATGATAGCAACACACAATTATTACAAAAAAAAAATACTAAGCAGAAATCAGAAAAAGGAAACCGATAAGTCAATTTTTTAAAACAATCTTAAGTACTAACAACATCTAAATTTAAGTAAAAAAAAAAACAGAACTTTAAGAATAAAATAAAGCGAGAAACCGAATAATTTATCATTTCTTACAAAATCGATCGATTAAGTGTTAAAGTATACAAAAGCAATATAGTACTTTGGTCACGCCAATTTGATAGTTTTTTTTTAATGCGACGAGTCTTAATAGAATACGTTATATTATTGATATCTATTTTAAAACATATCATTGAATAAAAGGCACCCAAAAAATAATTTGAAAATTTTATGCGATTTCTTACTAAAGAAACAACACAAAGAAAACCTTTTTGAAATTACATTTAATTTTGATCCTTATAGCCGTACAAATAAGATCAATTTTGTTTTAATAAAAGAGTAGCATGAAAAACATATAAAGTTCTACTTTTGCATATTGTAATTAATATTTACTTGAATGAAAGTCGGTCGGGGCGTCTTTTTTTTTTAAATAAAGCGAAACCTATTTTCTAAGTAACAATATTAAAAATATATTAGTACTATACGATACTGAGTTGATCCTTGAGCAGTTTAGTTTCTTCGATCAATGAGGATATTTGGCTGGTTCTGAAAATAAAGATACGTTTAATTTGGTTTAAGTCGACTTTATTGTAAGGAAAATAGTCTATAGTTCACGGGATGTAATAAAGTTGCTAAAATCCACTGAATTCGAGCAAAGCTATTTACTTTGATGTTACTACAAAATGTTAAATTACTACAATTAATTTCAACTTTTCTATCAATGCATTTAGAATTAAAATCAAGTGGAGAATTTTGACAGTTCCGTATAACCTGACCATTCTGTTGAATATACATACTCTATTTGTGTTGCCAGCACGAGAATCTTTCGAATTTGTTTATATAGCACAATAATATGTACATAGATAATTATTCTAATTCACTTAATAATTATTCTAGTTCACTTAACAGTCGTAGATGGCGTTGCGCAAATATCAATGAGGAAGTATCAAAAAATATATATTAGTTCCCGAAATCAAACTAGATGCCGCTACGGTACGTTCTTGATTTCTCCATGACAACCCTTCCGGTTTTCTTTTATGTTTAAAGGTAAAGTAGTTTTCAAAACTCAATAAACAACTCATATTCCATTTGTACTTTTTCGTATTTGTATTGATATCTAAGTTTCGAACTTTTCAATTTTCAGTTTTCTAATATGTTAGTTAAGAGGAACGGAAATGACTGTCTTTGGTCCAATCGTTTCCTGCAAAAATCAACTTTTGCTCGAGTCGCCATCTAGTTGAGGTGCTTTTTTAATGCTTTCGTTTTTTTTATACTTCCTCATAAACAAGTTGAATATTCTATTTGGGAATAATAACAAATCTAAAATAACATGTATAGTACTTACTGTTGCTGCAATATCGACGAGATGGTGTCACTGTGAGACTTGCCCAATGCTATATCCTTCTTCTTATATTCTTCTTCCCATTTTTTCATCTGCAGAAATAAGTTACAAGTTACAGTTCAGCGAGTTTGCATTTTCATATTTATAAAGAGATAAATCTAATTCTCATTAACGAATACGATCGGAAGACTAGTCACTGTGACAGAATGATTAAGACTTTAATGCGTTTACTCTAGCAATCTAACTAGCAACTGTCACAGCACGTTAAGTGTACTCGTGCAGAGCTCGTCAAAAAACTTACACTAAGGTAAGTTTTTTGACGTTAACGTTCACTGTCGTTAACCCGGTCAAAAACCCGGTTGAGTAGCTTGTGCACTTATCCGTTTTTTACCTAATCGGAGCGGCGCAGTGTAGGGAAGCTCTCTTTGAAGCTACACGTCACTTACGCTAGGTACGATGAGATTTTTGGAACGTCGGTAATTGCGTTCGAAGACGTAGAAAGGTGCCTAAATAATGACCTGAGTGGTAAGTGTAAGTTTTACGCTAACGCGTTCACTAGTGAGCGCGTTAAGAATTTGTATGGAGATTTGTAGTTCTTGGTAGTTACCGCTAGGGGCGCTGTATCGGATTCCATACTAAAATCTTAACGCGCTCACGATCGGCAGTGAACGCAAACGTCAAAAAAACTTACACTAAGCGCCCTGATCATTTTACATTCAGATGAAAAAACTTATACCTTTACTAATTTAGACCTTATTGATAGCTTTACAGCATTATTCACATACAATAGCTAAAAATATCTGCAACATTAGAATAAAATTACTGATAATGGGTTGGTACTTGATGTTTAAATTTATAAACGTGCTATTTTTTATCGAAGTTTTGTAAAATCAACTTTAAGCGATTACAGAGATAGACCAATCAGTGGCGCCATTTCGTAAACAAAAAGAAATTAGTGATATGCTAAATGAACTTTACGAGATCAGTTGACTGTATTATATATAGGCATAATTTTATACGCGTGGTGTAGTTTCTTTGAGCAGAAATATTTTTCACTTAGAATACTTCTTTTTTTTAATTTATTTATGACACAAACAGTCATTTCAAATTTTATTAAATGCGAAAAAGACATTGAGTGTCACTTAATTACTTCTCTTAATTCTGTATTATTACTTCTGTTATTAAATATTTATCTATACTTATGAATTGTCTAAAAAAAATTTGATAATGACAAATTTCCAGGCAAACTTTCATCCCCTATTTTTCGCGATAAAATGTAACCTATGTCCTTTCTTAAAGTTAAGTCTATTTACTATATTAATGTCTATTAAGATGGGTTCAGTTGTTTAGGCGTCTAAGCGCAACAACACTTATTTATCTTACCTTAAGTTATCGATACTTTTAATACGATTCTAAAATCTAGCTAAGTATCGATACTAGAACCATATGCTGATCAAATTAGAACTATACCAAGTTTGCCAAAGCATATGCAGTGATATTAACCAACTATATAAAATCATCATATAAAATATAGCATTTTATAATCTACAATAAATATTGATTATAAGTTTCTTGGAAATTAACAATATCGCCAAAATAAATATCGATTTGAAACAAATCGATTAAATAAATTGCGCGGTTAAATCGATTTTCATAAATAGCACCATCTATGCGCCAAATGAAAAAACTCGAAGCATTATTACTTACAAGTAGATTATATAAAAAACGGCGCCATCTGTAGGTATATATGATCGACATTAGAAAAACATCGATATCATCATCGTAAGTCCAACATCGATGTTCGATATTTAATCGAAAACTAAACATTTATGATTTTTTTGCAATAATTCACAAAGAAATAAAATATAGTGAAATCTTGAAATTTATTAAGAAAAAGTAATTTTGATAAAGAAGAATCTTTTAATCTATTTCTTTGTTGATAAAGAGTAGAGTCAGCTATTGTAAACATGTGTGTAAAATGTGTATTTGATGATATGTATGTATAACATATATGACAATTCAGTTTTAATCAAAAATATCATAATTTCAATTGATATAAATATTATCAAATATTAAATAATGCATTGGTCTTGTGTGAGGCAGTTAGTTAACAATGATGATTGATTTCGTTGTAACGTTATTTTTTGTATAGCAACATCGATGTTAAGACATCGATTTTTTGCTTTCAACATCGTTGATTATCGAAAATCGATGTTCATCGATCGAAGCAGTTAGTATCGTAATTTTCTTACTGGCAACTCATTTATTTTTGTTCTCAAAATAACCTATAAAAATTATTGTTTTTAAACTGCTTACCGGAAAAATTATGGGAATAATTATTCAAATTTAATGTATCATTTTTTAGCTTCTTGTGAACGTGTTGTCACAAGAAGCTAAAAAATGATACATTTAATTGTCGTTAATCTTTTTCACTTATCGTTTAATTTTATTTTAATACTACTCTTACATAAAACGAGACTGAAAAGTAGTGCCAATATTTATTTTTCGTCTTTTGATTATTAAAACTTAAAGATAAACGAAAGAATTGTTTTATATTTTTGTTTATGAGATCGTAACATCGTCGTTTAATTTTTTTGTATTTTATTTACATTTTAAGTATTTTATTTTAATACTAGTCAAATGTAAAATAAGGCGCAACATTTGTGACAATAATTATTTTTAATTTTGTTATTGTTTAAAATAACGAAAGAATTATATTATATTTTTATTTTTGAGACCATAACGTCGTTGTTCAGTTTTTTTTATTGTTATTTTAAGTAAGTATTTTATTTTAATACAAGGCACATGTAAAATAGGACTGAAGATTCGTGACAATTTTTTTTTTATTGATTATTATAATTTATTTTTTGCGACAATAAGGTTGTCATTTTGTTGGGGTGCTCATTTAATTTTTATTATAATAAAACGTTTAAAGATACTGAGAATTTTTATTAATAATTATATTTGGTTTCATTATTCCTTACCTTGAAAGTTTAAAAGAACATTTGCTTTGATTTTTAGTTTTGAATTGTTAATTTTTTTATTCATATTATTTTTTTTTATCTGTTATTATTGTTAATATGAATCTCTTAGGGTTATTATTGGAATAGGAAAAGCATGTAGGATTTTAAATAATAGAAAAAAAAACGATTTTTTCGCAAAAATCGATTATTGACAAATCGATTGATAATTTATTAAAGAAAATCGAGATTTATTAAATCGATTATTTTCTATTAATCTCACATCCCTAATGCTTTGTATGAATCAACACAGGAAACTTATGTACACACCAATGACACAAGTCAACGAGGCTAAAATTTTCAGAATAAATTCTTTACACCAATACAATTGTACAGAGAGAAGGAATAGCGCGATTTAGACGGCTACAGCGCCATCTAACGATAATGTGAATAAGCGAAGCGATTGTTTAACATAAAACGCTACCTGGTCGCGGTGCCGCTGCTGATGTTGTCGCAGCGCGCGCACGTGTCGCTGCAGGTGGGCGGCGCGCGCGCGCTGCTGGTGCAGCTGCGCCGCCAGCGCGCGCTCGGCGCCGCACACCGCGCGCGCGCCGCGCACCGCACGCGCCACCGTCGCGCATCTGTGCCGCATCACACCACCGTCACTGTTAGACTTATCTACGGGCTGGCTGATTGTACAAATACGAGTACTATCGTAACACTTTCAGAGGAAAAGAGCGATGTAATCGTCAACTGAATATTATCGAGACCCCGATTTATTGTTATTTTGATAAAATGAAAGAAATTTAAGGTGAATTGAATAAACGAAAAATTTTAAAAAACAACTTTCACGATATGTCCAAATTAAATCGTCACTGTGAATACTGTATTTTTAAAAAATACCCTCCTAAATAGATAAATATATACCTAAAAAAGGCCGAAGTTAATCCGTTCAGCATTGTTAATAATAGAAACGAAAATGTATAAAGAGAGCAATCGGCGCGGCGAAAACTATTTGATCGTATCGCATACGAAGGGGGTGTACACGTTAATCCCGCTGCACACCACGAGTCCTATTCACATCCCCCGCAGCAGGGGCTACGGATGACCCTCCGCACTGGTCCGAAGCGGATTAGTGGAACCGACGACTCAACTAGCCTACCGCAGCACGGAGTAGCAATAGATAATAATTTTTCCTTCCCCTAGCGAAAGTCGCTAAGCTACAATGATCGCAGGCCGCGGCGCACATCGGCTATGCCCACCGAGCTCCTGAACTCTCGTAGTCGTTCACATTAGAATTGATAGCGAATTTTACCGAAGCGCCCCGTCGCGCCAGAGTTTAAAACGGCCGACAGTCATTATCACCGGCCTCCGGAATTATGTAGCGATGTAAAGTCTCGAAGATAGCAAACAAACACATTCATTAGCAATAGTATATTTTTTCGTCCAGTTACGTCCTTTGTGGTCCATAAAATCCTAAAATCACTACAATGTAAAAGCAGTTTCGGGGTCGAAAAATTCCCATCGACACTGATGAAGTTAAGTAGAGAAAAACTTGTTGAACCTTTAACTTATTTGATTAATCAATATTTTCGTGAAAAAACCTTTCCACCAACGAAAGCAAACGTAACTGATCCACAACAATTTCGACCTGATTGCTCTATTGTCTACATTTTCCAAAATATTTGAGTCTGCAACGGTCACTCGTTTAACTAAATTTTGTGAAAAATTACAAGATTTTCAATGCATGCCAGCTTGGAATTCGCAAAGGTAGCTCAACAATAACTGCTCTATATTAATACATGAAATATCACAAATAATAAATAGACAAGAATTGCTTGATATGAGCAAAGCCTATGATAGAGTTTCACATGAAATCCTTTTAATGAAATTACATTCTGTACGGTCTATCGACTGTCAACCCGCCCTCGTACGGCACTCGTCATTATATGAAGGTCGTATTCTTTTCCGCTGGGCCTGCTTACACTATGGCTCCAGCGCTGAGATTATGTTAACTCAAATACACATTGATTTCAGGAGGTTTTTGGTTCCTGCGGTACTGTAAAAGAAGCTCCTGGTAACAGTTGGTGGTACAACTCCCTTATTTTCCTCGCTTCTGGTCCCGTTTCTAAGAGCAGAGACCGATCAGAGTAGAGCTGAACATTCACCCTCACCCTCCAATAAGGTGCAGTCTTTCCATATTATTATTCCGGTTCCGTTGGGATTCGACCAACGGTGGCGCTCAACAATTTTCTTTTATTCAAAAATAAACATTAATAATTATCGACAAAACCAAGGTGTTAATCCAGAACAACCTTATTAGCTCGAGTCACTCACCTCTGATTTGTCTGGGTTAGTCAGCCGTCTATAATTACCAATAAGTTACGAGCAACTTAAAAAAATTACAACGTATCAAATAATTTTGGGTTTTATTCATACTACTCATATATCCCTTGTCTTAACAAAAATGATTGTAACAGCCTCATATTTAGAAATAGTGAACAGTTTGTTCAGATTGATCACTATGACCCTCAAAAAAATACTCTATCAAATGTGATATCGGAAAAAAAGAAAGAAGACCGCTCAATTCCACAAGGTAGTATCCTAGGATGCATTTTATTCCTAACTAGTGGCCGCCAGCGACTTCGTCCCCGTTTTCCATTATTTCTTCGCTCCTAATAGTTGCAGCGTGATGTTATATAGCCTAAAGCCTTCTTCGATAAATACTTTTGTCGTCTATTCAACACAAAAAGAATTTTTCAATTCGAACCAGTAGTTCCTGAGATTAGCGCGTTCAAACAAACAAACTCTTTAGTTTTATAATACATATAAGTAGAAAAATACACATTGATGGAGTAGCATCCAAATTGTCAAAATTTACTTATGCACTACATGAATTAAAGAAGAGTACTCACTTAAAGTCAGCTATGTGTGCTTACTATGCCTATGCTAATGCCTGGCTCAATTACGGAATTATTGTATGGGTAAACGCTACGGACATCGGCAAACTGTTCGTTTAACAGAAAATATGCATTAATATTATTAATTAATTTTATATATATAATAAAATAAAATTAAATATTTTAATATAATGATTCAACTGAAATTTTATGTGAATGTATTAATAGTAATTTTGTGAAGCAATGTATGTTGCAATGTCCTTGCAGGACACATGTTGAGGATAATTTATATGTAATAACATGTGTACCAACATGAAGCAATAAATATTATGACTATGACTAAAGTTGGTAGTGAACAGCACGTCAGACTATATTTAGTCTAGAATTAAAAATAAATAAAATAATACTTTAAAAGAAAAAAAAAAAGATTTCTTCCAGGCAACCGTGAGATGAAGAGAAAAAGGGGTATACATGTTTTATAACATTAGCGAGAAAATATGTAGTAAATACATACATAAAAAGATATTTCTATAATATTTACACATACACTTATATATATTAAAAATATTATTTTATTCATTTACAACTCACCTGTAGTTAAAGTCATCCTGATGTTTCTCGGCGAGTAAACACTTCTCCTTCAACACTGTCGACTGCAACTGCACCTCGCTCACGTCACTCTGTACATAATATTTATTCATTAAACTAATAATAGATAAAACACAATATCCCACTTGAATAAAATCAAAATATACCTGCGTACTTTACTATTTTAAAATATTTAAAAAATCGACTTTGACACTACAGAGTAAGGTTCCATAGATAGGTAAGTGCAAGACTTGAACTTGAGTAATATGTGCTTGAAGTGTTGCGTAGTCAATTTAGGTCTTATTCCTATACATACGGTTACGGCATACGGTATAAATACGGTTCCCATTGAGTGTACAATTTAATAAAAGGTTTCAAATGTGTATCCCATCCTGACTTCTTAATATAGTGTGTATGTGGATAATACCTGCAGATTATGAAGCCAAGTGGCGTGTTGTTGATGCAGAGTATGTAACGCTTGCAGTTTCCTCTGTATGGCTTCCATAGCTCGTTGCTGCCGACACATATACTCAGTGCGGAGTTTCAACGTGGCCGCACTCAGGAACTGAACAAACCATAAAAAAAAAAACGAACAAAATATCACCATCATCCTATTAATGTCATCCACCAGTAGGGCATATCAGTTCTCTGTGGATGGAAAAGAGAGAATGGACCATATGCGCGCCCATTGTAGATTTGCGGATGTTAATGAGTCCAGATGTAACCGGGCTCAACGGCTTAAAGTGCATTCCGAAGCACGAAGAAGTTAGAAATAGTTAATTTTTGATCACCCATCCCGTGAAATCACGTGAACCTTTGCAAAAGTTGCTTAACTTCCACATTGCAGATCGAATGCGCTAAACACTGCGCCATTCAGCTTATATATTAGATATATCTGTGTTAATTTGCAGTCCTAAGAAGCGAGTTTCAACTGTGTTTTTAACTTTTCTTCGTCTTCCAAACGTTCAGATAGCTTTCAAATTTATACATTTATAAAAAAAAATACCAATTACTGGGCTGCTAGAGCAATATTACCTCAAGTACTGGCGATACGTTTTATAAACTACTACGCGGCCCCATTGCGGATTGGCGAATGAAAGAATTTGAGTCAGGGCGGGATTAAAGCCTCAGCAGTACGGAGGAGATTATAAAGAGTTTTACAGCCAGTTGCACAAACGTTCATTAAATTATCCATTAGTTTAAAGTGACTTTACCCATACAAATTTAACATTCATTAGAGCTTAAAGACGTCATTAAACCTTAATGGACGTTTCTGCAACTGACCGTTAGTCACCCATCTGACGACCGGCCCTTTTGAAAGTTGTTTAATAGAGCCATAGAACTCTTATACTGAATAAAATGAATAATATTTATTACTCGTAGTTGTATATATGTATACCTGTAGAGTTTCTTTGGGATCTGGCGGGTCGTGTTTGTCGAGGTTCAGTATCGGCTGAGACATCTCCCTGCTAAGGATCTCCTGCACGATGCCGGTGAACGACAGTTTCTGTCTCTGCAATTTAAATAAAAACAATGTTACTATTGTAATACAACTGGCGAACACCCAGAAATATGAATTAAGTTAGAGGCTAGCTCGTTAAACCTATTTTCCCATTTATATTTTAAGGCTTGAGAGAAATCAAATACTTATATTGAGTAAACAATTACAACAAAAACTGGAAACTGTGAATATACAAAATAACCTCACCTAAAAAAATATATTTTCAAAAATAAAAATAGCTTAAAAATGTGTAAAATAATATTTATTTTAAATTAAGTGCATTTTTTATATGGTTATCGTTTATAAAATATTTATAATATGTGTATTATAAACCGAAACGTGGGCGCCATGACGAGCATCGTGTGACATCACATTTCAATAAATTAAATGTCAACGCATGTTGCCTATGCAACCAGTACCCATGTTTATTGAAATGTGACGTCACGGCTCATAAGGTCATCATGAGACGACACAATTTGTTTTAATGAATAAAAATATGTTTGAATATTTTTGGAGAAATTTTGAATTGGTCATGTGAAAGGTATTCAGGAATTTTACGTTACATATGTTTGACATGTGATAGCTATTACTACCGCGAAGTTCTTTTTTTTTAAATTTCGATTAAAATAAACTTTTATTTGACGTTATTCGCAATTGTCTAAGAAAAGCGACAGTTACAGATATCTTGGGAAATGACAAGCAAAATTGATTGTCTATGATATTATATCATTCAAATCATCATTCGTTCCAAAAGTGTGACTTTGAAAGTTACACAATTCCATAAATCACTATCACAACCGCTATACGTTTGAAAGGGGTTGCGATAGATTATAAAATTATACAATTAGGGTACTGACTGTGTGGTTTAATATGATCTGAAAGTATCAAAATACTTTTCCCAAAACAGTCCAGCTGTCAATTTACAGTAAAGAAAATAATATAACATTTAAGCATTGATTACAATATTTTTTCTGTAACATGACCTTCTTTTCTATAATAGAAGGCATACGATAATTGACCTTACAATATCAGAATGCAAATTGCTCTAATAAAAAAATGTACATTGTTAGAAAATAATAGAAATCATAATGTACCTCTTTAAGTAAACTGTTGAGATCATCCTGCTCCAGCGAAGGATTCTTTAGTTGTAATTCTTTATACAACTGTTCTTCCAAATCGTAAGGTTCTATGATCCTGAAATTAAATATAATAATTTGTGTGATTTGCAGGAAAAGTAATTTTTAATATTGGACGTTTAAGTATAGGTACTACACTCTAAAGAAAGCAATCAGTTAATGGTATGACGGAAATGTGTTATTTATACAAATTTATTTTATGGATACACATATATACACTTCCAAGGACTGAGAATCCAATGATTAAAATATATTTCAAAATAATCCCCCGGTAACATGTATTATTACAATAAAACAAAAGGTACGGTGGATACCTATACTAATGAGAAAGAGAGGTAAAGTTGTCTAAATTTGTTAGATTTTTGGTAATATTCGGAAATACAGATGCGAACGTGAAAAATCTTTCACCTACAGGATGCTACATTGCACGTGGGTGACATAGGCTCCAATTTACACGGGCGAAATCGCGGGGAAACAGGCAGCGAGTCATATAAAGCTAATATCAGCATGGACGTAGTTATAAAATACAAAGTCCATGAGTGTTAGGGTCCGTGCCGCAGAACTATCCGCGCGGACTGCCGCTTGCGCGCCTCTAGCTTCAGTGAGCATTTTAGTAGTGTGGAGCGCACGCGTCACCTCAGTACAGTCATGGCGAGTCGAGATCATCCCTATATGGACACGAGCTGAGTTATCGATGAAGTCAGCCCTCAAACTGCCGTATAATGCTACGAATACCCCCGCAACGGCTCTACGCTCTATTAAAGGGTGAACATGTAGTCTCCTTCTTCGTTTCAATTTTTTTCCTTGTGTAATATAGGGCAATAATTAAAATAACCCGTCACATTGGAAGCATTGCGCTCATCTGTACACCGCGGCGTACTGACGGCCGTTGTGACGCTATAACCAGTCCTAGTTATACCTGGGCAGCAACGTGGCGTCCGCGCACAGCAGCAGCACGCGCGCGAGCGGCGGTGACGTCACCACGGCGCCGCGCGGGGGGCGCGCCCCGCCCCCGCCCCCCGCCCCGCCCCCGCCCCCGCCCACGCCCCACGTGCACACGAGGTGGTGCGCCGCGCTCGGCTTGGACCACATCGCCGATAGAGCCGTCTCCGACTCACCTGGAATCGTTCAAAGGCTCGGGGTGACCTCACACGATGGAAAGATATAGATCACGAAGCTCGGGCCTCACCTCAAAACCATTGACTGTTGGCTTACGTTTGGTTGACATTAGATTCAATCGACGATTAACTTTGTATAGTTCTATACGGTGTGTCCGACGAATCACGATTTAATCTATATTATACGAATATTATCGAGATGTCGTAATCTCTTTGAAACATTAATAAGTAAGTCAAAATTAAATTCCAAAACAACAACAGTGGACTTAAAATAGATCCTTGAGACACTCTTTATACTGACACCTCGAAAGAAGCTATTAAAACTACTAGAAGTATTCTAAGCTTACTTTCATCAGCGAGAGCATAATCCTTCAGATGTCCGAGTATCGGTAATGTAACAGTGTGCACACCGCCTGCGTGTACGCACGCGTAGGTGTTACTCGTGCACTGAAATATAAACAAACCTATATTGCTTCAACTCTATTGCATTAATTTCTAAGCAAAAATTAAAAGTCAAAACCAAAATCTTAAATAGTAGTTCATGCAACTGTCATATAAGAAGGGGTATTAAAATACGAGAGTCTGAGTCGATAATAGGTTGACTCGAGTGTTTTAATACCTAAGTTATATGCAGGTTCAAACACTACTTTATCTTCACTCAAAGGAAAAATTTAATTTATGCGTGCGCCATTTTTTCACATTTCGAACTGCGCATGCGTGTGCCTATTTTTCATATTCAGCCTAAAACCATAGACTAGTTTAATGAATAAAAAAAGACAGCGGTACTATAATGAGTTTTATTTTTAATTTTATGTATATGCATGTATGTATTTATGTATATTTTAATTTTATTTATAGAATAAAGTGCGCATGTAGAATCGTCTTTGAATTCGTAATTCGAATTTTTCGATTTGAGTGTAGATAAACTTGTTTTTTGAGCACTAATTTATTTTTTATCCACAATCCATCTATTTGGAACTTCAGTAAACAAAAGAAAATTGCAAAAGCAACTCGATAATTATGATACATCAACACAATAAGAAGTAATCCCGTTTAGAATAGGTATTTGATAAGATTGAATGTTTTAAGTATCTATTTTATAATATATATATCTTTATAAAATACTTCATTATTTTTTACTGACGGATAACTCTTATTAATTAAGTAATAATAATATTGTAACATAGAAAATATAAATATAGGAAAGTCGTGGGCCGTGGAAATGAGAGCTAATTCTATTTACTTAACCCAGTAACGAGTGGACGTTATAGCACCTTTTATTATCTATGGAAAAACAATATATTCTTACCGGATATAAATGGACCGGGTAAGAATATTGCAAACCCTCGTCAGCAGGATCGAGCATTATATTCAGCTCCACAGCTTCCACCACGTACAATGCGTGGGTGTCTCCTTCTTCTTTATCAATACCCTGTACCAAAACGAAAACGCGTTTTATCTAATACTATGAATTTTTGTATATGCTGACTGACAGATGAAGTACAACCTAATCGCTGGTCATAGGGACTTGAAATTTGTAGGGTACATACATTTTATCATGTAGACCGGTAATAAGAACGGATTCTAGTATATTCCACTCCGAAGAAGGTTATATAGAGTTTAAAGTTTGTATGAGATTTCTTTGTTTTTGGACCTATAGCGATGAAAATTTGTAATATAAGTAGTTTAAGACCATGGGAAAAAAGGAAAAAGCATCCCTTTATACTAGATATGGATAAAAATGGGTGTATATTTTGTTACAGGGTATCAAAATGTAACTACAAAATCCATGGTTTACTATTTGATTAACTTTATTTTACAGCAAAACTGTTATACGTATGAGTCAATTTGTGCGGTTAATTAACTAAAAATTATGAAAAAGGAAGCCATGAGACAAATGGAGATAATATTTTATCTTTAAGCGCAACAGTCATCGCACTCTTACATGGCACAAACCCGGTTTACTTACCATTGCGCATAAAATCGTTTGCCATATAGTATTATGTCAAGTTTTTTTTTATATTGATGTTATGAAATGTATTCTATAACATATGATTTAATGGTGAAATTCAAATGACAAGTAAATTGCTGGGTTGGAGCCGTACTTTTTAGCCTTTAGCAACACTAACCGTAGGCAGTAGGAGGCAGTGGTACAGCGCGGCAGAGCACGTGGCGACTACGACAAGCGGCGGCGCGTCCCCCCCGCCCATCGCTACGATGGAGCACGACTCGGTGCCGTAGTTGTCGTCCGCCGGGGGATACATGGCCAGCGGACCGGACAGCTTCGGCTGTTGAGGGCTGGAAACGCAGCAAATGCTCATGACTAAAATACTAAACGACGTGAGTTAAGACACACAAGTGAATTCGAATTCGGGTTCGGATTTTTACAGAATCGCTCTGCTGATGGCCTATTCTATTTCTCCGGTAACGAAATTTAGTCTGTTTTCGAAACGCTAATACGACCTCAAAGTAACGCATTTTTGGTTTATTTATAATTCAACTCAGTGTTCTACTTAGAGGACAAATAGAATAGGACTCTCAGGTGTCATGTTAATTCCTACGAGTTATATTCCTCTTATGACTTCGGTTATTCCACTCCTTCATTCTTGACGCGATAAAAAGTATTCTGAATAAAACACAGCCTTACCTTTTTGTTTCCACATCACATTCCATCATGTAGACATCTCCGTTGCCTTTCAATATGAGGAGATGATCAGAATCAGGTGTGGGTGTGAAGTCCACCCCGGTGTCGCCGAGGCTGTCCAGGATGGTCTTTCCTGCTAGGAGACTGCACGGCTTCGGTCCTATAGTGAAGATCCTCACGACCTTCGGACCCGACCTGAGTGCTATGTTGTATAACCTGATGCAGAGCAATGGATAACAAATCATCATCAGTTAACATATGTTAATAAATGAAATGGTCAATTTATATCTATTTTCTTAATAATATGACACATAATTATCATCTTCAGCCCCGTTACGTCCCCGCTGCAGGGGCTCAGGCCTTCCTTATGGATGGTTAAGGAAGACGGGCCATGACCCTCCACGCTGTCCCAATGCAGATTGCGTAGGGTATTAACGACTGCAAATGCGGCCGGGACCAACGGCTTAAAATGACTTACGAAGCACGGAGTAGCTCTAGATAATAATTTTTTGGTACACCCATCCCGAGACCGACCCTTGCAAATGTTGCCTAATAACGACGATCGCGTGCCGCGGTACTTATTCACTACACACCCGAGCTACCGACACATAATATAGTTTGCCAAACCTTATTTTCTTCCAAATTACTGCCATGTAACATTCATTTATACGTATACCTACTAGTTTTTGCCCGCGACTTCGTCCACGTGGTTATTTTGGGCAGTATTTCTAAAAACGCTAAAACAAATAGTTATTCATTATATATATGGTTAATAAGCAAGTTAATAAACAATGTTTGCTATGTTAAAATTTTGAATCTCCATAAAAAATTATACTCCGATTTTATCCCTTTAAATGCTGGTTTTTGGGATGAAATATAACCTTTTACCTTCCCAGAGTCATAAACTACTCAAATACCAATTTTAACCCATATAAATCCAAATATAAAGAAGTTTTCATACTTTTTAATTTTCGGGGTGGAATTTACAAAACACCGTTATTACTACACCACTACGCAATAAGACGAGTGTTCTCCAAATTTCAAGTTTCTACAACCAGAAGTTTAGGCTACGCGTTGTCTGTCAGTCAGTGTGTCAGAACATCTCCTTTTATATACATATACAGATATGGTCATTCTTACATATGTCTATAAAATTATAATTCAATTGTCTCCAATAGAGTGACTATATAAGGACCAAACTAAACTGTTCTGCGCCAAACAAGGTTAGTTTGGTACATAACCTTAAAAATGAAGTTTGATGTAACCTTGTCTTTATATTACTTTATAATTATTACCTGATAGTGTTGTCTGAGACTAGAACCAATAGGTGAGAAAAGGACGTGGGATGCCACTGCACTCTTCGCACCTCCGTTTGGGAATACAGGAATCTTTCATCGAGTGTATGGCTCCTGTAAAAAAAAATACGGCGTATAAAATAATTGTTAATATAATGTCTATCGGTATTATTGCAACAGTTTTGCTATTTTGAAAAACAGAGGAACGATCGGCGTTCTTAGTCTATTTATATCAATATGAAAAAATAACAATATATTACATAAACTTTGTTAAGTACATCATTCTATTGGGAAAGTATTACGTTTATATAATATAGATTTTGTATAGGTGAAGTTTCTGCGCCTACACTTCTGACCAAAAGAAGTCCTGAATTCTTAAATACTAATTGCCCTTTGACCACGCGGGTAAACCTACAAATAATAGCTAGCAAATCACTACATAGTATAAAACAAAGTCGCTTTCTGTCCCTCTATCCATATGTATGCTTAAATCTTTAAAACTACGCAACGGATTTTCATGCGGTTTTTTTTTCATAGAGCGGGTGATCAAAAGGGAATGGTTTTTATGTAAATATAATACAAGACCAGGCGGGCGAAACCGCTTGCGGAACGCTAGCTATACATCAATTTTAATTTTAGATGTTCATATGAGAAGCCTTGCCGAGTTTCTTGCCGATTATTTTGTGTAAGGTCTTTAGCCAATATATTAACGAAACCCGATGGCATAGAGTTTCGACATTCACCAGTGCCTAGACTGAATAAATAATGTCGATTTGATTTGATCAATTACAAAAAAATAATTAATAATATTAAGAAAACACCACAAGATGATCATAATAAATTAAACAAACAGTTCCGGGATTACAAAGCCTAGAAATCCTAAATGTTCACACAAGGATCCGTCGACCCTTGGGCAGGTGGGCCGTTATCGGCGGAAAAGGGCGAAAAAACCGCGCATTCATCCATTATTCCACGTGATAAATACCGGGGAAGGATTCGTGGTCTCGCCCTAAGGTCGCCGTGATAATAATTTGATTACAGACGCTTCGCTTTTTTGCGGACGCATTTAATCGGGCGGCCGCGGTGGTGGTGGAAAAAGATATTAATTTCGAGGAATAGGTTCACAAGCCTTTGTGAACAAATCGTTGCATGTGAATATGAATATGCATACACTGTTTATTTATTAGTGGCGTCTTCACGAAAGACGGCTATAAATTCAAATAACACAATAATCTAACAGAAACAAGCTCTTGATAACGATGAAGTACCTTTCTGTCTGCTGCCATTAGTAATTGTTTTTGATATACTTTTTATGAAAGAAATCAAATATGGAATATGAGTTTATATTCCATTTTGATATCTAATGTTGAATTCTTTGAAATTGTTTAGTGAGTGCAAGAAATTTTTCGAAATCGAGAGAACTATTACAAAGTGTCAGTATTCCATGTTAGGTATACTATTTCATATTTTTACAACTATTTTCATCTCATCGCTACATATTAATTTGATTATGATATAGTTTATGTAAATGTCGTTACTACAATTATCAGATGGTAAGTTTCTATCGCTCGTTGTTCCTGTCAGCCAGATGACGTACTGACGGCAACAAATTTAAATCAAGAATGGTACCGGTTAAATCACGCCACAATTCACTGTTTATTAAATATAATTGATTCTCATATAGGAACTTTGGAATAAAGAACATACAAAATTTTAACGATGTCTAAAAGTCGAAAGTCAATCCACCGGTTACGACCGATAATCGTTTTTTTTTAATAAAAAGTGCAATACGAGATTTATTTTTTTTCAAAAAGTTATTAGTTAAATTATGAATGAAAGTTGAGTGATTGATGAAACCTATTTATCGTCAAACTGTACAATTACTCGACGAATTATGAACCTGTTACTACAATGATCAATGGAATATTGTCATCAAAGTTCATTAAAACGTTGGATTGCTAAAGGTATATTTACTAGTATAGTTCTAGATTCATATTAGGTATAAGCTCGGTCAGTGTCATACCAAATCCGATTAGCTCAATTGGACGTGAGCTGTACAGCCTGAATACTGATATTGTATAACTGGTTCCAATTTCAGAAGTCGCTAAATGTTGCTGTGGATCGGCATTAGGGACTTTATGAAATTCATGACGGCATTAATAAAAATGTGCGTTCTATCTAGACATCACAAGGAAGTATACATTTTGAACCATAATGTAAAGGGGTGGTGTCTTAGATGGCGTATTGCTTTTGGGCCTTCGAGTGCTAAAAAAAATGTAATGAACTAGTACAAATGACCTGTAAGGATAACTTGATCACAAGACTGCAATTCAAATGCATTGTAGTTGATTTTTGGGCATTATTACATTATTTGAAAGGTGACAAATAATTTGGTATATAGTTTAAAACGAACAAAATGGACTATTTGAATAACACTAATTGTAAGACGTAAACGCGCGTAGCGGCATAAATCTACAGAAGTAGAGAGTTGGGTCAACGTTTTCATGGTCCAACTAAAAAAGGTAGCCCAAAATAAAATTACAAATGGTCCGAGCATTAGAACAAACGACGCACAGAGTGTCGCCGGAACAAAAACCGATAAAAAACCGAAAATGTTCCGATTCGGTAAAAAATAAGAATCAGACAAAGGCCGTTTGCGGCAACCTCTATACGTGTCCAGTTTTTTTTACGAACCCGCAGCCCTTTTGTCCTTCCGGGCCTCTTTTTTAAATAGATCAGTGAGGGTAAGTAAAGACCGGATGTCCACTCTGAAATATTATTGTGGATTTTTCTGCTTGGCATTCATAAATATTTTCCCCCGACCGAACCCCGGGAGGGGGCAGGATTTACTCGAATCGGCGCAGAATTATAAATTTGGTTAATAAAATATGATACGATAAAGCCGCTTTTTTACTGGGCCCTCTATTATATTTTGTTTAATTTAAATATGAATAATTAAATTTAAAAGGAAATCTCTGGGGCTAATGAATTTTTTGTTTTCGAGATAATGAATTGAAAACAGCCTGTGACGCGGCCGGTGTTATTCTTCTCTCGGCAAGCTCATTCGGATTCATCCTTCGTTTTTAAAAAACCACGAAAAAAATTTAAATGTATTAATTATGACGATGAATTATATTTTTCCATGTTTATCTGACCCCTTCGTACCTACTATCACCGTGGCTCTCATATTTCTAAATTGAACCAGATATAAAGAGTTTTAATTAAACTTTTTATGCACGAGACCGTAGTATAATATGCGGGAGAGTTGAAAAATATCCCTCGTCTCTAACCCGATACCATCTGTAAAAACATTCTAGATTTTTAAATGAAAATAAAACATTACAATCGACAAGTGCAAGAGAAAAACACCGTTCAGTGCGGATATCGGTCCCAAAAAGTCCAACAACCCTTAATCAACGCAAACGCTCCCGCACGACGATCAAACGACTCTCGAATTAAAAGTAAAAAAAAAAAAAAAAATGTCCGAACAGAAATATTAAACAAAAGCATCGATCCCAACTGCCACGACCACGAGGGATTAAAATCGTAACGAACGCACGGAAATATTCAAATACAATACTAACAAATTGATACAAACACTCATTAGGCGAGGTTCGCAGAAGGCGATTCACCCACAGGGGGTGGCCGGGCCGATCTCTGCCAACATTACAATCCACATCCCGCTCACAAATATTATCTAAAATTCCTTCTCATTTATAATCCTTTTGTGTCCTCAGCGCGGTGTCCTCCGTCAAATCCCCACCCGATGGGTGGTGGGGTATTTTTATATTTTTAATCGCGTTGGGCATTATCCAAATGGACATTGGCGGTACGCCGACTGCTGCCGTCGAGATGATAAATTCTCCTTTCGTTCGACACCCGGCTGTTTTGTTTTGTCCCTCTGTAATGTGGCTTCCTTTATTGGGTAGAGGAAAACTGCTCGCATCATTAATTACGCTCGATTTTTCTGCGGGTGACTGGCGAGCGTTCTTCGTGAGGTCTTCGACTATTAAAAATGGCCCGCCATCTGTGCCCTTTTCCTCTTCCAAATGAGAATTGATCGTCGCTATCGTTCGATGCACGTTTTCTTTTCCCTTTGAATGGTGATCGATGTTCGCGACTTTGTGGTAATTAACTTTCTTTTTGTCAAAAATTTTCACGCTAATGGCGACCGGATTGACGGGCCGCTGAATGCGGTGAGCGATGATTCAGAAAATTATTTTTCTTTTGAAATCAGCATTAGACGTATAAATTGACGGCAGTATGACTTTGACAAATAAGGTTAAACCGTCACGTCTTTGAGTTTACTCGAGTCGTTTCAATATAACGTATTCAATCCAATGATGTATAAATCTTTATCTTTGATCGAAACAGTGAAAAAATTAACTAGTTAATCGGGCAATAACCTGTTTGACTAAATTTTAAACGTGGAAAACTTCTATTTAATATAATTATATTTTTTTTTTAATTATTACTTATTTACCAGATTTTAATTATCCAAAGCTTACCTATCATAAAAAAATAACTTTTTCATTTTAAAATGAAACCAGATGTTGATTGTGGACCGGGCTTTGGTATTTATTTTACAATTTACCATCGTAAACTTCAAACTATGAATCCCACAGTCTTAGTAAGAGTTATCGATTTATTATATACCCCTAAGGAACAATATCTTCCGTGACATAAAATTCGAAAAAAAAATAATGGCTACAAAATCCCGTTGTCCAATAAAACAAGCAAACCCTAATATATCGTATAAGTGATGTATAGATGATCCTATTATGCGGTGAGGTGGGCAGGAGACGGTACAGGCCACTTTGCATATAGAAAAGCAATTTTTTTCGTGTTATTATAAAAGGAAGGTTAAGTGTGAGCTGGTTCTGTCATGTGGATTCTACGGAAAATGCATACTCTGTTTAAATATAGTTTTGTTTTATTTTAAATTAGTATTACAAATATGAAACACGTCTACAAAACTGAAAAGGGTTACTTAAAACCAGTGATGCGTCGAATAGTGGTTTCACCGGTTTTATATCTACAAAACCGGATATTCAGCCGAATTGCTCGGTTTACCAATACTTTCGTAATTTGGCACATACATTTATGCACGAATGTATGTTAAATATGATTGATTTCACCTCATTCATTCTGAGATTTAAAAAAAATATATTTCTTAACTATAGGAACCCTTGGTGCCTTGAAAAAATAAATTTTAACGCACTATTTCGCTTAATACGATTCTCTGTCCCCTATTGTATTGACGGACTCGTTGAATTCATTACACCCAGCTTCTAAGTAAATATAGTATCATCAATACTGGTCACAACGAGTCCATTATTTATTACAAGTAAAAATATTGAAGTTTTGAAAGAAAACTTTTTTGTTAAAAAAAGCCAGATTGACCCAGTGTTTACACGACGGTACCCCGAAAAACGATGGAAAAGTGCAGTGGACTGCGGGCAAGAATTAATGGTGTGAAACTTCGGACGGACCGCGCGGTTTGTTACAAATTTATGGGCGTCCACGTCCTTTCTACTTTTCGTGCAGCTCTATAGAACACTATTACTTGATACCACTAATTATAATTTTGGTAATCTTGAAAGAATGAAACGAATAAGTAATCATATAAATTAACGGTGGAAACTATTAAATAACGCTAAAGTAAAAGTATGTAGAGTCAGACCATGACAACGAGTTTCATAATGATTGCGCGTTATTTAAAGGTGATACCAGGAAGACATAAGCTGGCCATGGTTTGCCTTTGTAATTAAATTACGCATCCCTGTTCAGTTTGGGTTAGTTGGATTTATCTTTACGCTACTCTTTTCATACAAGCTGGACGTTTTAAAGCTTCTTGACGTTATGAAGAGAAAACGGAACCATTTATTAACCTTAAAACAAACAGACTGCATTTGATAATTTAAAAGACTGACAATAATATTAAAGAAACCGGCTAGGAGTGTACC